ATAATACACACCCTGGTGATAGGTATACAGACCCTGGTGATGGGTATAAGGACCCTGGTGATAGGTATACAGACTCTGGTGATAGATAATACACACCCTGGCGATAGGTATACAGACCCTGGTGATGGGTATACAGACCCTGGTGATTGGTATTTAGACCCTGGTGATAGGTATACAGACCCTGGTGATGGGTATACAGACCCTGGTGATTGGTATTTAGACCCTGTTGATAAGTATACAGACCCCGGTGATGGGTATACAGACCCTGGTGATAGGTATTTAGACCCTGGTGATGGGTATACAGACCCTGGTGATAGGTTTTTAGACCCTGGTGACGGGTATACAGACCCTGGTGATAGGTATTTAGACCCTGGTGATGGGTATACAGACCCTGGTGATAGGTTTTTAGACCCTGGTGATGGGTATACAGACCCTGGTGATGGGTATACAGATCCTAGTGATAGGTATACAGACCTTGGTGATAGGTATACAAACCCTGGTGATAAGTATACAGACCCTGGTGATGGGTATACAGACCCTAGTAATGGGTATACAGACCCTCGTGATGGGTATATAGACCCTGTTGATAGGTATACAGACCTTGGTGATAGATAATACAGATTCTGGTGATAGGTATACAGACCCTGGTGATGGGTATACAGACCCTGGTGATAGGTATAAAGACCCTGGTGATGGGTATACAGACCCTGGTGATAGGTATACAAACTCTGGTGATGGGTATACAGACCCTGGTGATAGGTATACAGAACCTGGTGATGGGTATACAGACCCTGGTGATAGGTATACAGACTCTGGTGATGGGTATACAGAACCTGGTGATAGGTATACAGAACCTGGTGATACGTATACAGACCCTGGTGATGAGTATAAAGACCCAGGTGATGGGTATATTGGCCCTGGTGATAGGTATACAGACTCTAGTGATGGGTATACAGACCCTGGTGATAGGTATACAGACCCTGGTGATGGGTATACAGACCCTGGTGATAAGTATACAGACCCTGGTGATGGGTATACAGACCCTTGTGATAGGTAGACAGACCCTGGTGATGGGTAGACAGGCCCTGGTGATAGGTATATAGACCCTGGTGATAGATAATACAGACCCTGATGATAGATATACAGACCCTGGTGATAGATATGCAGACCCTGGTGATAGATAATACAGACCCTGGTGATAGATACACACACCCTGGTGATGGATAATACAGACCCTGGTAATAGAAATAGAGACCATGGTGATAGATATACAGACCATGGTGATAGATATCAAAACTCTGGTGATAGCAATACAGACCCTGGTGATGGTATACAAACTATGGCAATACATAAACAAACCCTGGTAATAAGTATACAAAGCCTGTAAAAATAATTAATTTATAAAAGTAATATATTATAAATGCATAAATAAATCAATAAATAAATGCATAAATAAATAAATAAAGACATAAATAAACATACGAATAAATAAATGCATAAATAAATAAATGCATAAATGAATAAATAAATGAATGAATGAATGAATAAATTAATTAATTAATAAAATAAGAAATAAATGAAGGAATGAATATAATAAATAAATAAAGAAATAAATGAACTTCTTAATTAATTAATTATTAAATTATTAGAATAATTAATAAATAAATAAACAAATATACATACAATTAATAAATCAATGAATTGATTAATAGATAATTAATTAATGGATGGAATAACAAATGAAGGAAAGATGAATTTAAAAAAAATACATAAACATATTTTTTAATGAATTAATCAGTTACTTAGTTAATTAATTATAAGAATGATAAATAAATAAATAAATAAATAAATAAATGAATAAATAAATAAATAAATAAATAAATAAATAAATAAATAAATAATAAATAAAGAAAATGAAATAATTAAATAAATAAATAAATAAAAACTAACTGTAAAGTTGATTCATTTATTCTTCTGCTTTTTTAAATAAAAGTCGATCGAATTATGCATAAATTTCTGCATCTGACTAAAGTATCATTCCGCATTACTAGTTTCCATTATATATTCCGAATTTCCTCCCTGCTGTTTTCCGATCTCGATGGAAATTTATTGCGCGCATGCGCTCTGCCTGGTTATAGAGGCTGGTTACAAGATCCAAAAAAGCATACATATTATACCTCGGAACTCACATATATCGTCACAGGAGTTCGCAATTTTATCAATAAAGTCAATAAAAATCACTCGATTGACCAAGCCATGAGCTATGCGTTAGCATGCTAACGCATAGCTCATGGCTTGGTCAATCGAGTGATTTTTATTGACTTTATTGATACTAACGCATAGCTCATGGCTTAATTGGTCAATCGAGTGATTTTTATTGACTTTATTGATAAAATTGCGAACTCCTGTGATTTCGTTTTGTAACTAAGCGACAATTTGCACCTACCCTCACTGCACATATTGTTGTCCTTCGGTACATATTGTCACCGGCGACAAATGTGCCGAGGCGAGCCTTTTTTTTTTGCTCCTGCAGAATGCACAAAATGTAAAGTCACACATCAGGCGCGTATACTGTTTTTTGAAAGGGGGGGGGGATAAAAATATGACAATTTACTTGAAAAACTTTCACAAGCCAAAAAAACCCCTCTATAATACTATTTCTTTCGGGGGGAGGGGGATAGGTTGGGGGGTCCAACTTCTTCACAACCAAAGTTTATTGGTATACACTAATTACCCCGATTTTACTATATACTGCAACAAAAAGTGTGTGTGTTTGGGGGGGGGGGGGGGCAAGCAGCCTTTCAATGAACATTTTCAACAGTAAAAGGTTTTGTTTGGAAAAAGTGCCCCCCCCACCCGGATACTATGCCTGCACATCAGCACATACTGTCGCCGACGACAATATGTATATGAACATTTCGCCAATATTTTTTGGGGGTCTAATATATAAGAGAAAGACTGACACTAAATTGTCTACGGAATCACAGGGCGGGTGTATGAACCGGTCAACTGGGTATGCTTACTCCTTCATGGCATCTGATCCCACCTCTGATGCTTTAGAGGTCCATGTTCGCTCTGCTCCCGATTTGTATTGTTTCAATTGACTTTTGAGCTTGATTACGGTTTGTTATTTCCACATTTCATCTCTGTTCTAAAATTACAATCATTTAAGGAGAGGCTATGAATCTTGCTCACTCTAGAAGCTGAAGCGATGGTAACAGAAGAACAGTCTTTAGAGTCAAAATCTTCAGATCTGCTGACTCTATTGGTTCAAATGGTTGTTTTGTGAGAGTTAGCAAGACGAGTGGCTAGTTCCAATTTGGTATTAACTGACGTATAGACGGGTGTTTATTTAAATACTAAACATTTCAACAAGGATGAATTTAAAGTTCCGAACATGTATCAATACTGTTCTCATGATGAACAATCCTATGATGAACAATCCTACTGCTAACTTGTATCCAGCTATAGTCTGTGGTTTGCACTTCCTCACATTGAAATTCTGCTAACTATGGTATATAGATGTTGTAACTGGATCAACATCATGTTCTTTACACCGACTGTTATATATTCCGAGTCTTGGATCATAAAATATATACATGAAGATGTCTTTCTGGCATTTGCCATAATTTCTGCAATTTCATCAAAAAATTCTTTTCACATGTATCGCAAATCGATAGTTTCCATTCTACAAGATTGAGAGATTCTAAGTTTTGATGAAATATCTGATTGTGATTTTGAGAAAGAAGATCTGGCCACAGTGGAAACTTGACTAGTACATCGATCAAAAGATCGATCATCTGAGGGTACCAAGACTGTCTGGGCCACATTGGAGCAATATAGTACAACACTTGTTTTTCCAGTATCTTCTGTAAAACTTCGACAACAGGAGTTGGTTGAGGAAAGGCATACATCTCTTTCCAACTCTTTGTTAGAGTATCCTTGAAAAGCATTCATGTCTGGAAACGGAAAGCAATAGACTTGTGCAAGTAACATTTTGTTTTGCACAGTTGTAAACCAATCTATACATTCTATGTATTATATTCTATGGTCGATACAATGACCTTGTCAGCTAATACAATCTATCATTAAGGCGAATGTTGACTAATTTTTTTTTCATACAGATTGTTAGGCCTATGCTTCTGACTGTGCTCTCCAACTTTGTTCTAACGCATATGATATCAATGTCAGTTGACTTCGGAATCCTACAAAAGCATTACTTTAAAAAGTTTTACCGATTTATCTACCATTGTAAGTGCTGAATTAAGAATGGACGAATCACTATCAAATGAGTCTTTGGTCTCCACATAGCTAAAAGGTATAACTGTATTGGACGCATGTGTAACCTTCCCATTGGAAAGATAAATGCATGAATGCAACGTCTAAAATACTCTGAAACCTAGATCTATATTCCTATGTCAAATGTCAGGTGCAGTCCATTAGGCATTGTTCCCAAAAAGCAGGGGTGGGATCTGAGGTTTTAATTATTACATTTTTATAGAATAGAAAAACTTTGGTTAGAAAAAAATAATATAAGAATACTTCAAGCGAACAAATTTCTTCCGATCACAGTATACTTTTTAAAATGTTATAGGTATGGCTTTCCATAGAAATGATTTCCATCTTACCTGTATTATAGAGAACTGAAAGGTAATTTAATTATTTTTCCTGCTGAAATGCTTATTTTTTGCTAATTTGTTTTTGTTCTAAATTACCATAATTTTAATAACTGAAATACCTTAAATTGTGCATTTAAGTACACGAAGTGGAAAGTTCTCTTTTGTTTTTGTTTTTAAATGAATTGTAAATTATGATGATCCTGGATTACAAACACTGTTAAAGTATAACGCATATCTATTTTTTCTTGCAAATTCAAATTTATTTAGTATGAGTTATGGTGATATTTTAGATTTGAACATTCTCCAAAGAACATTCAGGATAATATAGCAATACAACTAAAACGAAAGTAGCACAGAGAAAATATTAGCTACATTATGAGTATGGAGCATAATTACCCCATACCAGTCTACATAGCAAAGTTCTGTCCACAAAATAAAGCTGACTGGGACCTTAGATCCAGGCACCTGAACTGCAGCAATGACGACACTAAAATTCACAGATACCACTGTGTACCAAACAGCCAAAAAACGGCTTTACTGGAGTTCTGTTACGATATTATCAGACCACTTGTACAGAAAGGTAAAACAACACTTATTAATGTAACTCAATTTGAAGTTAGTGAAGATTATACAGTGTAAAGTTCTGATTTATAATATATTATTATACAGATAATTGTATGGAACTAGCTCAGAGCGGGACCCTTAACCAGTACTATTGCAAAAAATTTCTCAGTGGCTGTCCAGAGACACACTATTACAGTGATGAGTCCTATCTCTGTAAGTATGCAATCTTGTACTCTGAAATCTGAAATCTGGAATCGGAACATTCTGATCATGTTAAATAGAAGTTAAATCTAAATAGTTATAGCATCTGAAATTGTACTTGTATATACCTTTGATTGCATATACATGTATATGTACTGTATGTCTAATCACTTTTACTCAATACATGTATATATATGTTTAGATCCAAATTGTTCAAGAATCGATCTATATGGAAAGTGTTATATTGCTGACCCTAGTTGTGCATATGCAAGGTAAGTAGGATTATGTATTGAGGAAATGTTCCCGTAATCTACGTATGACATAATGATAACTCATCACTCAGTCTCTCTTTATAATACATAATTTTCAGCACTACGTTAGCTTCAGCCACTGAAACCATCATTTCAACAGGCACGTCCCTGTCGGAAAACTTGACCTGCACCCACGTGGAATCGACTCTCACCATTGTCTCCACCATTCTTAGTTTCCTTATCGTGTTATCTTGTCTTACAAATATTGTTATCCTTAAGCGAAGGTGGATACAAGGTAGGTAGATATTTTCCTTTTGAATGAAAAAAAAACTCTGAGACTATTGTAATTTTGTAGGTAATTTTGGGACAAGCACTGAAAGTCAGAGAGATCTGTCAACTCGGATTTATTGAATATGTACACAATCTGCATTATGTCTAAATGATAAAGAAATAATTATGCCAGTTAATAGTTGTGTAAACATACTAAGTATCTTATTTTACGCGAATAACTGATATCGCGAAAGTCTTGCAGACGTTAATCGCGAGGTAATGAAATCACAACAAATTCATAACAAGCGAGACTATAAAGGGTTAGGAAGTGGATAAAATATACAGCTTGGTTATAGAATATGTCTAGAATTAAGGGATATAGACATATTCTATAACCAACCTGTATATTTTATCCACCTCCTAACCCTTTATAGTCGTCTCTACAAACCAATAAACTCGTTATGTCATCCGACAACAAATTTCATAACGGTCTGTAGAGACGACTACAAAGGGTTAGGAGGTGGATAAAACATACAGCTTGGTTATAGAATATGTCTATAATTAGGGGATGAGAAGTCGTTGGTTGGTGGCGAAATACTAGTACATCCCCAAAGTGCGCAGAAAATCTAGCGCCGTAAATTGCACTTTATTTACATTACGGGATCTGTAGCGTTATATGGTCAAAGACTGAAATATAAAACCATAAAACCATAAGGCTAAAGTTCTGCAGCTAGGGATCAAGCCACAGGATGAGGCTAATTAGTCATATCTCAAAACATTCATCATATTTGTGAATTTTTATACATGTTTTCATTCATGGAATCAAGCAGAAAAATGGTCTGCGTGATTATTAAAGTTGTTAGCATTCAATAAAAATTCTGAACCCTTCGATTCAGTATACAGGCCTCATGGTGTGGCTCAAATGGTCAAATATTAAAAAATGTCGTATTAATATCTTTGAAAATTGTCTTCTTTTTATTGTCTACATGTACATCTAGTAGGCAGATTATTAGCATGATTTTAATTCATCTTAGCGATTTTGGTGGATGAGCATCAATTACATAGCTGAATGTCTTTATATTAGGGTGAATTTATAAAAAGAATATGACCAAACACATATACATCAACCTGCACTAAAAATACAGGTAATTGGAATGAATTTCTATGTCCCAGCATATGTCTTTAGATAGTGTCTAAGAACTTGCCAAATACCTCAATGATATCTCAGTTCACAAAAAACTTGTGCCAAAAAATGATGCTAAAAATGTCAAGAGTGGAAAACCTTTCTGTGACATTTTGAAAAATAAATATTTGAAGATCTGTGAAATAAGTGATAGTTTTTGTTGAAAATAAAGACTTTCGTGATAATATTCGAAGTATTGAGCTTTAAATGGAGACTGTAGCAACTTTCGTTTGACCAAGTTGTAGTCTTGGCTGATGTTGAAAAAAATGTTATACCATGTCAGGAGTGCAACAGAAAAAATGTAGTGTTGCCAAAAACATTGATTTTAAAAGGAGTACAACACATTTTTTAAAGATTCAAGTTATATGATGAAAGACTTCTATTAATGCTAAGAAATATTCTTTAATTGATAATGATCTATTTGAATAATTTAGTACTAAATTATTGACAGTTTTATAATTAAAATCCTTCTCTTTTTCAATTTTATCAATTCAGATGTGTTTTTATCCTTTCTTTGATATTTTTATGAATGTAAAAAATAAACACACAGAATTTTTTTTTCTTTTTTTTTTTAATAAAAATTCAAGTAATTCCACCTTAACTTCACTGAAACAACAGAACAAGGTCTGATGTCATTTTGGCTTCACAATTCTACTTTAAAGACTCTCATGCTCTTGGTCAGGAGTGCAACAAATATGTTAGAATTATTGCTGATCAATTGTGAATAAATATAAAGAAAAAAAGGATTAGTATAATGTTTCTGGTTGACCTCAGTTGCTTACAGTGATTGTCCCGTGAAGGAAAATATACTATAAAATATATTTTATCTTCTAAATATATATTTTAGCTAGTTTTTTTTTTAACACAAATAGGGAATAATTCAAGAAATAAAGCCAAGTTCAAATACTAGTACTCTCATGTGTTTTAATTATGAAGTATTGGACTATAAATATTGCACAATTTCGTTACCACTTAATGTTGCCAACACTTTATGAATTTTTGTGTTCTACGGTTTTAATTTTTAATTTTACTGCAGTGAAGAGTGCAACAAAACTTTTATAATTATCAATGATCTTCATCTATCTTTACTAAAAAATAAATTGAAAAAAAAATGTTTGCTACTATTTGATGTTCCAAACATTATGTCTATCAACTAATTACAGACATTTTACAATCAATTCAGAAAATAGTTTTCATCACTTATACTTTTCATAGTCTTCATCACATATTTTTAAATACAATGTATATATATTACACATTGCAAATAATCATGTTTTGAAGTCTTGAAAATATGAAAAGCTTACCGTAAACGATAAAAAAAATATCAAAACGACGAACAGATTTACAAACTAAGAATGAGTTATTGTGTGTTATAATTTTTAAAACAATGTTAAATAAAATACAGATCAGATGTCAGGAGTGCAACACAATAATGTAAACTAGGATCGCTTTAAAATCCAGTATTTTTTGTAAGAAATTCTTTCTTTGCTTAGATTTAAAGCATTGACTTAAATGGACAAAAAGTGATTTTGGGGGAATTTTGTTTCATATTTGTTTTATATTAAAACTTTCCAAACCAGAACTGAAAGAATAATGTAAAATAACAATCAAAAGCCATTTTTTTTTCTCCACATATACAAGAGAAGAAACTCAATAAGGTTTAGATCTAATCATTTATATACCATTTTGAAGCATAAAAAATCATGAGAAAGTCTTTTAGGATATAGTGATTTTTTCTTTTTTTCAAATAAAGTTTTACTAATAAAATTCTTTTTTATCCACTTGTCTATTTTATTGCAATTTCAGGAATTTTAACTAGGAAGCATGTACAATATGATGATATAAGTAAAAAAAAAATATGGGTAGTTGATTTTTTTGAATTCAATTTGGTGGTCTTTTTTTAATTCACCTATTAATATTCATATCTTAAGCATTCAAAATTTGTAGAAAAATGATTTTCCGCCAACTACGTTACGATAAATATAATACATTAAAAGTATTCTGAATACATATTATACCTCTGAAAAATGACCTTTTACATGAAGAGGTCATGCCACCAAGGTTGATAGACATAGAAAATGCATTATTCTGTTATGGTCTGCAAGCAATATACTGATTGTATATGTATTGGAAGTATGTCAAAAAATGCTCAGGTGAATGTCAATTCTGGTGGGCTCTTTATGCAAACCCTTTTTGAATTACCTTTTGTGACATGCGCATATCTTACAACCGTTTTCTGAATTCTATGAACTGCCAAAATTAAGAATGCAAAATTATATATTCAACCTTTTTTTAGCTTTTCAGAAAGAAAAGCTGTTGACTTCATGAAGAAGAAGGAAATGTGATGATAACGAACAGTGATCATTCTAAATACAGATTAAAAGCAGAGCAGAGCTAGCACAGACCTCTGAAAACAGAGGTGGGATCAGGTGCTAGGGAGAAATAAGTAGCCCTTATCAACCGGTCACAGCCGTCGTGAGCTCCTTATAATCTTGTAAGCAGAAAAATCTGTAAAATCATTTTGAAAATAATGGTATAACAATTTGCATGGAAGACGTCAGTCAATATTCGACTTACATGTAAGGTCATAGAATACCCAAAGTTCGAAGAATGTGAGGATTCGATCATACCTTCTTCTTTGTAGCTGTTTTTAGGTTCAGATTAATTTGTTTCATGATAAAATAATATTATAAATTTTTATTTAATTATAGGAGATTTCATTTTTTAATGGTTTTACATTGAATTTTGATATAGATATTAAAGTATAAATTTGGAGAGAATGAAAAAAATAAGACTGGTTTGATAAGAAACATTTGTGATAAATGAAATATGGAGATAAATATGTGTTTTTTGCAATGATTAAGAATGCATAAACTTTGTTAAAGAATTCGATAACATAATGTTTTGAGTATCTTATGTCCTTAAAGATAGTGTTTGCAAACAAGGTCATTGTATCGACCATAGAATTTGCGAAATGTGACTTTAAACGAGATTGTTTATATCCTTGTGTCATCAACATATTTTCAATAGCCATCATCGTTTTAAAAATTGTTTGTACGTAGTATATGTTTTTGTGATCGAATGACCTGGAGGAATTAACTCCATATGCAATATTGATAATGGTATACTGCTACAGAAATAATTTATTGCTTCTTTCATGTTACAGTCTCGTTCTCAATCATCAAATTCTCTCTATTATTTCCATTCCATAATAAACATCGTTTGAAAGATGGTTGTATCCTTACGTTTAACGATCTTCTTCCTGTTTTGAATTTCTCTCTAGGAAGATACAGAATCTGGAGAGAGGGCAGAAGTAAAAAGGGTAAGGTATAAATCTTATATCTTCCAGAGAGGAAGCTGTGATAAGAAAACATGTCATACATTAATAAAAACATAATTTTAGCAAGATTACCATTACTCATGGTATTGTTTGTTGTATGGAACTATATGCAAGTTTTTATAAGCAAATATACAAATGTATTTTAAAAAATTACAGATATACTCGTTGAAAAAGGTAAATGTGCACAATAGAGTTGAACTCTAGATAAAATGAAATCATGTACACCTGTTTCATTGATTTTTCTATCGAATGAAACCTGGTGAAGTAAACGTTTTTGTGACTATTTTGCTTTTGCCATATTCTTAACTGACAAGAACCCAGTTTATTATAAACCACAGCAGAAATTTTATTTAATGTTTTAAACCTCCAGAAAACAATTTTTCGATGAACTCATCACTAATTGTAAAGCCTCGCTTCAATGAATCTTTTCGGCTTTCCGCCATTTGGCATGGATGAGACTATTGAACCAGACAAAGGTAGCAGAAAGCTTTGGAGTGCGTCAGAATACTATAAATCCAATTTGGTTTGCTCTATAGTCAGTTTGTAAACACGGAAAACCGGCGTCCTATGCTAGATGCACAATATACGATAGCATATAGGGACCCATGACGTGCCTAAGAAAACATGACTTGTCCATTCCTAAAAAAATGATTTCCTCTTCTTTTAAATTTCCTTTTGCTTTTTCAGAAAAAATTGTTAAAAATGTGAAAATATCCGGAATTCGACGATCGCCAAGTCAATTTTAAATGGTCGCCAATTTGGCGACTTATGCCGGGAAAAATATTAGGCGCCAATCAAAAATTTTAGGCGCCATGGCGACTAAATTAGACGCCAATTAGAGCCCTGCATATGTATGTATATAATATTTCGAGTGGCCACACTTACCTGCTATTTCTGCTTTATAATGCAAGAATAAGCTTGATCTTTTTTTCACTGAAAAATTCCGTTCCATCTAGTACATGTAAAAGCGGTGGCCGATCATGGGTTTACCGCAGATTTGAAGAATACTTCACGGACGCCTGCGTGACACAACGTAACACAAAGACAGTCGTTTAATGGAAGCTGCGTTATGGTAAAGGATGGGATTGCTGTACATGGCAAAATTCCCTTGGTGATTATTTACAGAAATCCATTAGAACTTTGGTTCAGGGACTTGTCCAGCAACTTGTCTTGCCCTTCATTTAAAAGTCGTGACCAACAAACCACGTTGCAACCAGACAATGCAAAAACCCCATGTTTCATGTTTCGCTCTTGACTTCCTTAGACAACAGAACATCCCTAAACTTTGATACGTTGAACATGCTGACGTTGGCTGATCTGGTTCCAGATCTGGTCCAATTTTGGATAAAATAACTATGCCATATGCTTTTTTGAGCAATTGTATCGTAATAAATCATACATGAACTCTTTATTGACTGTGAATCTTCTGAAGATTGTTTACATCTAAAGTATTACATTTGAGCCTCTACCGTGTATATGGTGTTATAAAACAACAGTACGCACGAAATGGTTAATTCTATATCTGCAGAAATATAGCTCTCTTGTTGAAAAAACTCGGACAGGCAAACCAAAGAGCTAAAGATCCAAGCATTGTAAAAACCTTCGATTTACGGCGACGCTTTTTTGTCGCTCGCTTTGGGTATTATTTGTATTTTATGAATTCTCCAGTTTAAAGAATGGTATCTGATAATTAATCATATATTTTTTTGTATTCCTGATCCTTTATTGTCTGATGTCATGACGTCAGACAGTACTAGATCTAGGTGGCAGAGGATAGTTTCGGCTTAAGTACCGGTCAAAAATTTAAAAAAAAAATAGAGAAACCTAAGGTTTGAATGCATATTGTATGTGATTTTATTGCTAGAATATTTTATGTGAGCATTTGGAGGGAATTAGTGGCCTTGTGTATATTATTGATATATGACACTTTAGTGTCACTGGATATGGACTAGAAATACGAAACTAAAATCAAAGATCTCTCATCCGGGATTTCCTCAGAAAAGCGGGGTGGGTTCATAGGATGAATTGTAGCTTGAAAATGAGGTGGTTAAGCCAGTATCCCTTGCAGTTCTGTGGTATTTACAAGTGTTTGTCTGCATTTTGTGTGGTAGCGTAGGGTATTAGCACGGGCCTGGGAGCTGTTGCGGATCTGGCAAAACAGTGAAAATAGGCTAAATTTTCATGAAATTTTGAGATTGTCCATGTGCCATCATTTGGGCTCAATGTGTAATTGTACGTGTTTTATTCCTAAAAGCTTCAAATTCCTCAAGGGACTAGACCATACTATTGTTACATGTAGAAAGATTGTCCTATGCACATTTTTACAAGCAGCTCAGTATTAAGGAAAACTTCAGCCAAATGTTTTGATTGCCAAAAAACTGTCCTCTGCCACCCTAGCCAAGGCTTGTTGGTCAAGTCGTTCAATAGAATTCTTGTGATAACTTGATCATGGAAACTTCATACTATCTTAACTATCAACTGGAGAGCCTGAGGAGTAATGGAAGCATGCAAAACACCCAAACAAGCCAGAGAATTGGAGCTGATGTCTATTTTCACATTATGCATCACAGGTTTCTCAACACTCAACTCAAATGCATCATTCATGTCCAGCAAACAAGAAGGAATGAAACTGTTCAGGTCAACACTTGTCGATTATCTTTATCAGATTAACTAATGGATGTTTATTTTCAATGCATATTAAGTCTCTCTACCTTTAGAATTTTATAAATCTACAAATAATATAAATACCAAAGTGAAGGATTAGATATTAATTGAATATTCTTTTGCTAAAATGCGAAGATGTAGCACATTTGTAACATGTTTATTGTTCTTGTTATTTTTTAAATAAAACATTTCTTAATTATCAAAATTGTTCACCAGTTGATGTTTAGATTTTTATGTGTTGTTACTTTTTGTTCAAAAGCACTGGTATCTTTGTATCCATGAACAGGCCCGTTGGAAGAAATTTTAGAAATTTTCAGTTTAGGGTGGACACTATCTAGAAAAAATTCCTTATCGAGCATAAAAAAAAGAATTATCAGAAGTTAATATTTACATGGTTTAGGGGACACAAGCATAAAGGAGCATTCCATGACTCAGAGTCATGTTGATTACACTGGATTCAACTTTTCTTCATTCCTCTCTTAAAAAAAGCTCAAGTCAGACAAGCTTTTTAGGAAAGCTAATACTTGTTTACTTTAGGGTGCGTTATTTTATCATGACCCCACCATATGGACTTCGGAATGCGAAATTTAAAAGCTGACATTCCAAGGCCGTATAGAGCTATTTGTATCCGTTGAAAATTAAATAAAGTATCAGGAATACATGTACAAGTAAAATATGGTTAATTAAATAATATTATCCTTTAAGCGGGGAAACGCATATAATACAAGAAATAATATCTGAAGCGAGCGACAAAAAGCGTCGTCGTAAATGGATCTGTGGCTCTCTGATTTGTCTGACAGAATTTCTCAACCAGAGAACCACAGTTCTGCAGCTAGGTTAACTCATAATTTGGATACATTGAGCAGGCACTTTTTTCAGTTTGCATATAATTAAAATAAAATAATGTTTGTTTTTTTTTTGTTTTTTTTTTCAAAAGATGCGACAAATATAGAAGACATAGTGGAAAGTGAATCCATGCTTCGAGAATCTCTTCACCATTCAGTCTCTGACGAGGAAGGTACGCACAGCACCTGATGATTTTTTTTATTCCTGACCTTTAAAAAGAGACTTATCCAATTTTACTAAAAGGGTTTTTACAATAATATTATAGATTTCTCTGTCTTTATTTTTTTTTTTTTAAAAAAGGGCATCTTACAAGTTTTGATCCTAAGAATCTTCCTGGTTCACCAAGACGTAAGTAAAAGATATACCATTTATCCTATATTTCATGAATAATTCTGTATTGAAACTTAGGTTTATATATATATATTACTTTATGCGTAGAAGGATTCGATTTTTAAAAATCTTTCTATTAAAGTTCTGCGACAGTTTCTAAAACAGCATGTGTAATTTTAGATATTAGTCCAGTCAAATTGTCATAAACCTTAAGCAAATTGCAACAGAATTTTTTTCTTTATTTATAATTAGTAAATTGTATTATAATCAACATATAAAAACTCTAGAAAAATATATAAAGGCGAAAGATGTCTTTTTCAGAAATAAATATTTACTGTTCTGATAAAATATGTATTGCAGAAACGTGCTACCATATGCACCAAGGGAGACAATTTTAACCACTGGAAACAAACCACTTTTCTTCTTAAACAAGCATAATAAAACTTATAATTCATTTTGTATACACGCTTAGGTTTAAATTTCACCAATGCACTGAAGATATAAGATCTGAGAATCTTATATATGTCTAAACTTAGCGATATAATGTTGAAATCTTAGTATATTATTATCTGTGTCACAATTTTTAAGCATGTAGGAACCTTTCTATCAAAATGTGGGTCTATGAATCACAGGAAATTATATATTAATCATGTATTTCTGTAAAAATTCAATCTTCCAATTAATAATAACTCATGCACATATATAAATTAGCGTTTACTTCTCTTTTATTAGATATTGGAAACATTATATATATATAGGGGAAATAATATATGGAAAGTCGTTAGTGGTATTATTGCAACATAAAAATATTTTATTATCTAAAAGTTATATTTTGGTGTATGACCTTGTTTAAAGATTTTTTTCTTTAGAATGTTGATTAGATTAGTGAGATCTACTTTGCTATTTAAAAAAAATTAGATTAATGCCATCTTTAAAAAATTGTTTGGTTGCCTTCTCCCAACCGACTGACTAAAAATGGCCCGACTCAAAACTTTTATTTTACATTCCAGGACATCATATTTATTTTATTCCTCTTATGCTGTCAACAAATATGTTGAAATTGCCTAGAAAAAAAGATTTTCCCACCTACCTACCTACTTAATAATAATTTTACCCTGATTCAGGAGAGGACAAACAAACAATATTTTAAAGATGACCTTATTCTTGAATTTTTTTGGGTGTGTGCATATTCACTATAATGATGCTCATTATGTACCTCAGTATATTTTATTGTAATTTGTAAACATATTTCTTAAACATTATATTTGTGTCACTTTGATTCACATTTCGCTTCTAGTTTGTTCTTATCATAACCCCGGATCCAAGTAGGGTCACATGAGGGATCTAATTTTACAGGAAGTCTTTGAAATAAGCCGCATTGTGGAATTTTTGTTTTTTTTAAAACACATCCTTTTATGTAATAGATTTGTGCATTTCAGCTTTTTAAAAACTGCACAACATTATCGACTATTTTCCAAGTAGCATCCCAAATTCACCTGCATATTTAAGAAAAGTTTTTTTTAAATACTATTTTCCTATCACGATAAGTGAAATCTATCACTTAAAAGAGCATAGAAAATGATCAGATAGGTAATTTAATTGTCATAAAAAATGACTCTAAACCTCTAAAAGCTGCGCTAGTGAAGATTGGTTGATTGTAATTTGTTTTACGCCCCGTTCAAGAACTTTTCACTTATAGAAAAACGTCACCATATACCGGCAAAGAGCTTGAAATTTAGACCTTTACTAGTACTCGGCGCTTACGGCCATTGGGCAGTGAGGGTTCTTTATCATCTCATCCTAAAGACCTGCAACGTTTACTTCAAAGTGCCGAGAACTTAATTAATAATGTGATATCCCCCCCCCCCCCAAACACACACACAAATTACAAAATAAATCCAAAGGAGATATAAAAACTAGCAATGAACATTATATTGAATATAATGTGGCACCTTCAGTGGATTTTTACGATTTTTCTTTTATTTCTTTAACCTTTCAAATAAAACCAATGGGGAAAAAATCTGACTTTTAAGATTTAGTTCAAGTGTTACGTATCCATAGGTATGACGTATTTCAGATGAATGTCCTATGCATGCATTGCTATAAAGGGAGATATGTCGGGAAGGGGGGGCTGACCCCCCTCCCCCTGAGATTTTCAAGAGTTAAAATGTTCTATGTAAAAGTAATAAAGATATGTCCATGAACCCATTTCCCCAGGACACTTATTAAAATGGCAACAAGTCATGTGCATTATGAACCCATTCCCCAGGACACTTATTTAAAAGGCAAGAAGTCATGTGCATTATGAAAAAAGACCCCCCCCCCCCGAAAAAGGTTTTCAAGTTTGAGGTAATGAATAATTAATTTCATTTATTTATTTTTCTTTCTTTTTACTTATTTGTTTATTTATCTATTTATATTTGCTTGTCAGAAAAATTCCGAGACTTGACATCTGTGATATTTGATATGACCCCCCCCCCCCCTCGATAAAAATTCCTGAGATGTGTCATGTGTGTGCTTAATTGTCCACTATATATAATTTTTTTTTTAAATTATCTTAACTAATAAAACTTGTCATTCCTACTATGGCTACACATTCTTTGTCCCTGCACAAAGCCATACTGAGGAATTGGAAAAATTTTATTTTCAGTTATGTCCGTTGCCATGGGAACAGGAATCCATACCAATTAATGAAATAATTACCAGTTTCAGTTTGCAGACGCATTTCTGCATGACCTACCAAGAAAATTCAAGATCATATAGATGGCAAAACTTTTATTATGCGTATATAGAATGTCTTTTTAAACAGTGATTTATCGGCATTTTTGAACAGAAATCGGTTTTTTTGAAAACTGAAAAAATGATGTTTGGACAAATATATTCTTCTAGAGTTTTGATATATCAAAAGGCACATTATAAATAACAAAATTCTACTGGAATAATTTCTGTTGCAATTTGTTTAAGGTTAGGGTGTTTTAGGGCTAGATTGACTGGACTATATGAAATATTTTTCAGAAAAGGACATAGAAAATGTACTTGTTGGAGAAAATCCTAACGGTAACAAAACGATAATAAACTCTGTCTTATTAATACAAGGATATCTTTGAATCAAGTGTTAAAATTACATTAAAATATTTTGCAATTTTTTCGTAAACTAATAAAAAAATAGACATACAAATATAACAAAAATCTTATCGTGTATTTATATATTTATGTGTATTTTCAGTATGAAAAATTATTATTTAGATTTACAACTTGTGTCTGTGAAGACGACGAAACAAGGCCAAGAGAAGAAGAAAGAAGGTCAGTTAATGCATGTGTTTCAATTATATCACTACAGATCACAAATGCATGCATTTACTACCGGAGATAATAAAAGTTATGACATAACCATGTAGTTTATTTAATTGTGGTACGTCGTTAACCCGAACTGCATCTTGATATGTATTTCAAAATATTCGCGCCGGATTGGGATTTTAATTTTAAGATTAAGAGTAAAACTTTCGTTTCAAAATTCTGTTTCCAATAAATATCGTACGAAACTTCTACAAACATAGTTGTAAATATATTATGGGTATGAAAGAGGTTACTATTTTAAATTGCATGGTGTCTTGTTGACAATTATTTGTTCCTTCATGCTTTTGACAAAAAAATTCGTAACAGAAAGCTGGGAATTCCAGTCTGACATCACATTGCATTTACATTTGGTTGTACTGAATTTGTAGGAACGAAGATAATTGGTATCACATTAAAAAGTAGCAAAATCTGTTAATCTATACAGCATAGAAAATAAAAATGTTTCTCGTCAGATTATTTGGATCCTAATGAAAAGGAATACAAGAAAAAGAGGATTGGTGCAAGTATAGAACTGGGAACAACAAACTCCGGATATTGTTATTCTTATTACGAACAGTTTTGGTACGACCCTGTTGGAAGTATCTCTCTAAATACGTGGTATTCGTCAGAACTTGCAACTTCAAGAACCGGCACAGAAATTCTTTTAGATAAAAACTTGAAATGCATAGCCTTTGGATATGACGCTGAAATCTTGTATTCACAAAGGGATGCAGAGAAAATTCAAGAAGAATTCTACTTCTTTTCAAAATTTATTAAAGACCTGTCGGAATATTTTAAGAAGGTGTGTAGAAAGGTCTTTCAAATAAATATCTTTGCAGACATAATTAACAAGTATTATTAAGCCTTGTCCAAAGTTCAAACTTTTCAATAGTAACCATATAAAACCATCCTGATAAGAATTCATGTGTAGATGAATATATTTGGTAATTGAAAAAAGAATGCCTCTATACAAAATTAATAGGTTTTCATTTACCCTCGTACTTTTTTGTGCAGAGAAAAATACATCCAGATTTGTATTTACAGCTCCCATCTATTTGAAATACAATTCATTATACTTATTTTTGATATAGGATAAAATAACATCAAAGCATGTTCTTCGTGATGTTCATAAGCAGAAGCAGTTTGATGCCATGGAGATTGTGGCTAAAGCGATAGAATATATGATGGAAGAGATTTTCAAAGACATAAAAAATAGTGGCTATACAAAAGAAGAAATCAGAATGCACTGGGTTCTTACTGTATCATCATTGTGGAACAACAAAGGAAAACAATTTTTGTGTGACTGTGCAACAAAGGTATTTTAAAGAATATATAGTAACTATTTGGCTTTAACATCAATTATTTGTTTTTGTTGTGAGTATTAATCCTCCTTGGACCTGGTCCCACCTCTGGAATTTCCGGGGGTCCGTGTTTTATGCCCAGTTTACGGGTTTGTAGTTTGTAGATTTTTTGAGATCGATCACCTTTCGTTATCATCACCTTTTCATTTATGTGAATTTCCTGCTGTGACGTAATCTTTTGGATTTTAAAAACTGTTTTTTAAATCTTATTACAACTAATGCCAGAAATAGCAATGGCATTAGAAAGAAAATCAGAATCATTTTATTGGCACAAATCGTCATGCTTTGTCTAGATCTGTAAGGGTGCACATAATGTAGTCCCCATATTTGATGATAAGATTAAACTTTTACATTTTGTTCGAATTTTAAACATTTCAGTCATCTGGGACAACATTATAATTATACATATTTTTAAGCTTCTTATTGCGTTTTGAATTATTACCCATTCTTAAATCAACAAGTTGCATTCTAATTAAAAAGAACAAAATATGTTAGAACATACTGAAAAGAGTTTTTCCATGGCTTTTTCAGGCTGGTATAAGCCGACAGGCACTTTTAATTGTGACGGAAGCTGATGCATTGGCGATGTACAGTAGGTATTCAGGTATATGGAAATCGAACACTAAGGATGTATTTAATTGTGGAACTAAAGTCATGGTACTTGATGTTGGAGGTAATTTTAATCAAAGTAAACTTTGATGCAAATTATTATAAAAGAATGCTAACTGCAGAAAAAATTTCGCTTCATCAATTTGAATTTATCATTTATGATAATTAATTTTTTTTTTCGAAACTGGCCACTGTTCATTATCTTCACCCATTCCATTATAATAGATCTTTGATAAATTGAATTCATTTCATAATAATTTTTAAATTCTGGTTGTAAAGCGCCATTTGCTTGGATAGAGAAATAAATTTTAAGTTTAAATAAAAAAAAAGGATGCACTGCTTTTTGGTGTAAGAGTTATCGCTTTTGCATCACCGTCTGACATTAGAAGGATTCATTGAAGTGCGAATCTGTTGTTCAAAGTTCAAAGGAAATCGTGCATGGAAAAAATATGGTCACAGCCATATCGGTAGCGTCGTTTATCAGTTTCTTTTAGGTCGCTGTGAAATGTTCTTCTTGAGGTCTGAACTTGATTAAATTTAAGTGTAAACTTAATTTTTTGTACGTGGCGGTTTCAGACCAGAGGTATATGTTCATATAGTATTAGTCAGTTACATCATACATTATGTATTTAATGTTTAGTCATCACTCATATCCATCATTTGGCCTAATTTCGTATGGACATATATTCGTACAAAATTCATATTTCATATTTTTAATTTCCAAAGACTAATTATTGCATATCTACATCAATAAAAATCAGAGTAGTAGGAAAAGTGCAACCCACCATAGTGTTTGTGTGGTTTATTTTAGCTCGAAAATATGGGGGGTTAAGGCAACTTCTTGTAGCTATTACAATAATGGCAGATAAATAGAAATTATAAGGACAAAGGAGAAATTCTATAAATGGGTAATATATATTATGGGTATTTGACAATGTCAGTTGAACATAAATTCGTTTATATCAATCTTTTGTACAAGGGTCATTAAAAAAAATACGTAGACAATATCGCTCTTCATGATATTATTTTTTTTTCTCAAGTTTTATGATCAACACATTTTTAAGTGCAAAACCATTTATTTTGTCGTTGTTTGAAGTTTCATTCCAATTCATTTAATGGAACTTATATTACTTAACTTTAAATTCAATGTTTTGTCACCACGAGCACTCTTAACTGCAATGTAACGTCAAAAACAACGTCGTGAAAGTTACAATTACTCATTTCTCACGATTTTGTAGCGCCTTGTTAACTCATTCAAATGTCTCCATATTACTTGATTCATACTTTGCTAGCAATTGTTAGTATGTCAGTGTTTTCAAATTCTTTACTGCTTAACTCTGCTTTTATAAGCTTTTATAAGTTCCACACAATGAAGTCCATGACGTTACTAAGTCTTTTGACCAGATTTTCAATGAAAATCTGTTTCCTCACAGACTTTAGATCGTCCAATTCAAAGTCTCTACCACTCGAACACTGTCTTTACCATTAATATACAAATGCATAACTCACTTCTGATATATTTCCTGATTTCTTCAGCATTTTTAGAATTTGTTAAGAGGTTTCCCGAATGCGAAACAAAATTATATCGCTGCTCTGTGACGTCTATTAACGTCACCCTTTTTCGCTTTTTCAAAGAGGACTACCTGTCTTCTGAAATTTATTTCTCTCTAACGAAGTAATGTATTATATTACAATTTGGTACTCAAATTATAAAATAAAGGTATATTTGAACATTTAAATGATATTTTATTTAAACGTATAACCTGTGTTGTCTACGTTACAATGACTTACTTTTATCTATCTATCTAACTATCTGCTTGACATTACATCTGAAATTGTACAATTTGAAGGCATTTTTAAAAGGGAAAATTTTTGTCTTATTCTTTTTACTAAATAATAGCAAATTAGATTATAAGTAATAAATTGAATAGCTAACTAAGTAATACATGTACAACCTGGGTTGGAGCAGTTTACGCTTTACAAACTCCGAATTCTTGGTTTATAAAGCGTAGACTGTCCCAAGTAAGTTTACGTAGTATAACTTGGGTAGCTGTTAAATTTATTTCTTAAATAAAATTTGTCTTAATTTGCCGCTAGAAACTTAGGCACAATTATCTTTATTTAAAATGTTTTCTTTATTACAGGTAGTGTTATGAATGTGACAGTACATGAGGTTGACTTTAATGGATCGCTTAAGTTACTGAATGTTAATCAGTCCATTGACTGCGGTGGAAACGATGTTGATAATAAGTTCAAGAAATTGTTGAGCATTATCGCAGGAGAACAGAAACTTGGAGAGTACGAGAGAGAATTCACATCTGATTATCTTGAAATTTTTAGGGCCTTTGAAAATAGAAAAAGACAAGCTACATCAGGGAGAAAATCAGTACTAATAAAGTTACCTTTAACTTTTATGGAGTTTTGTAAAAGACATAATAGGGACATGAACAAATTTCTTGAACAGAAATTTGGAAATTCTGTAAGGTGTTATCGAGATAATCTCAAAATCGAAAATACAGAATTTGAAAAACTATTCGAAGATACTGTGAAGAAACTTGTAAATGAAGCTGAAGATATTTACATAAAAGAATCGGACACTAAATTAATTTTGATGGTTGGAGGCTTTTCAAATTCATACTTATTACAGAAAAGGATGGGTGACGCATTCTCTAACAAATGCCATATTTTGTTTGAGGACAATCCAGAAGTTGCTGTATTAAGAGGCTCTGTGCTGTATTCACACCAACCCCATGTGTACCAGATGGTCGAAAAAGGTGTAATTGTGTGAAATTCAAGTCATGTTTAAATTCAACAAACAAGGAAACAATTTTTAACATTGCCGTTACAAGAGTCCTTCAATATGCATAGAGACAGTGTTTGTGGAACAACATAGTGAAAACTCTCCATTCCCCACAACCAAAAAGTAATAATAATGAACATGCATATAAAAACATGAATTGTTAAATTAACAAAGTATTCATCAATACAACTACGAGGGTTGTCCCAAAAAGTCGTAGACAATGTTTATAACTTTGTAAACATTCAACCAATACTAACCAAATTTTGCATATCCATAATTTATTCAATGTACCTTAAAATAGTGCATTTTTAAATAAATATCTTTAATAGTAATAATATTATGAGGATTTATAGGAAGGCCAATATGGTCTGTCGGCGCACGAACAAAATCCGGAATAATTTACGCATGTAACTATTCCAATTGCATTTGTTTCTCTGGTAAAATGTGAAAAATCAAACCCAAATTTATATCAGTGAAATCAGAAACAAAATCTTAGTATTATGTCAGTAGCATCAGATCTAGAGATAGAAGATTGGTGTCGTTATTTTCACACAGCTGTTAGAATTGAGTTTGCTGCGAATGACGTCCGTGAAACATATTGTACAGGTGTCGGATTAATCGGTTTTCACCGTATTATTAGTTACCTGTTTAATATATAGATTTTATACAAGTTAAAATACTAGTAGTATGAACCAAATTATCGACAAGTGCATGGCATTTTTTTTTTATTTTTGCCCATTTTCTAATATTTTGTTGCATCAATTTTGTCATAATCTCATTAAAAAATGGATTACTGCTGCTGTTAAATAAATTCTATTGGACCAACAAAAAAAGCATGTTGTCATTAAAAGAACATCAAACTAAAGGTGTTGTGTAATAAATTTTAATTTTGATTGAGAAAAGTATTTAAATATTTTGCACCTAAAATTTAAGAAAAGATATTTATAAAATTCTATACCTCAAATAGCTGTCTACCAGTTGAGCTGAGAAGATGTGCAGACTATAGAAATATCAATTTTTTTATGGATGAGAGTTTATTTATTGCAAAAAGAAAGAAAACAGTCTTAATTGTCGCCCGCGTGGTGCAGTGGTTAGAGCGTTTGCTCTAGAGTCGCGGAGTAAGTAATTGATCTTTACGTCGCGGGTTTGAATCCCACTGTGGGACGTGGAGACGGTCCTTCGGATGAGACAGTGTCAACCGAGGTACCGTGTTGCAGTAGGTGCTGGCACGAAAAAGATCCCTCACTGCTCAATGACCCTAAGTGCCGAGTATAGGTCAAAATTTGCAGCTCTCCACGGGCAAGTGGTGGCGTCTCCGTATGAGTGAAAGAATACGTTAAAGAATAAACAAACTAGTCTTATTTAATTGCTTTTGATGAACTTATGATAGATGAGTATTATCTAACCAATTTTTAATTATTTCAAACATACAAACAATTTTTCATTAGAAAACCCGATGTAAGAAAAGCGAGTGAAAATAACTAAATCTTTTAAACCGTTTCGGTTTTTATTATTCTTCCGTATTATACTTGCATATGCTAGTGCCTTTAAGATATGCTGTTTAACAAACGAAATGATAGCATCATAAATACTCAATACATCATAAACAAAATCACAAAAAAACAGAGTCCTCATTAACATAAACTTTTGTAAACTATAAAAACATGTCAAAATTATATTTAAGTTCAATGAAACAAGTACAAGCAAATGAAAGACAGTATGTATAAGTAATTTATCTATAATTACACTGAACACTTGATGTAAGACAAGCAAGTGAAAAGTACTACACAAATGAAGCTCTTCTAAACCGTGTCCACTTTTACCATTCATTCTGAATCATACTTGTATATGCTATAACCTTCAAAATATGTTGTTTTCCCAGTTGAAGAACGAAAAATATGTCTTGATCGGACATTTTCTGAAGAAAAGTCGTCATTCCTCTGAGAATTCTTGATCTGGGGCCTATCTATTTCCTTCGTTTTAGTGGACTTCACACATTTTCTACAAAAAGTCAAAATCATTAAGGACAATAGAAAAACGTTTCTTCATCGTCTTCCAACACAATATACATGTATACTTTAATGCTTTCATTTTTTTTTTTATTTTCCTCCATTAATTAATAATAAATAGGAAAGGAAGTAACAGTTGTAATTATGTAGTATGCAAAGTACATGTACATAGAGAATATTCAATGTTTTGTAATTGGACTGGTGAAAATATCAAAAAAATCTTTTCCACGAGTAATAAATTCCATATTCAACAACTACGAAATTTGAATTTTCTGCTTATTACATTTTCTTTGATTTCCCCATTGCCTATCTTTTCGTAACACAGTGTCATATAGTGACGGTATAGTTGAGCGGTTGAGATATCATAGCTTAGGGATTGTGAGATTGAAAACAAACACTGTAAACATGGATTTCAACAGCAATTTGGAGAAACTTTGGCGGTTATAGTCTCTATCAGGTCATCTTTAAAAATTTGTTTGGTTGCCCTCCCTCTCCCGACCGGCTGGCTAAAAATGGCCCGACTCAATTTTTTTTAACCTAACTATTTTTTTATGCATTCCGGAAAATAGATTTTGAAAATTCAGCATTGATTTGAAAATTTTCTGTGAAAAAAATTTTCCCACCTACCTACCGACCCAAATTTTTCATCCTGAGTCGGGAAAGGGCAAACAAACATTATTTTAAAGTTGGCCTCAGGATGGTTTATTGACTCTATCTTATCAGAGGCCAGGGAATATTTTTTACAAAACTCTTGGGAAGGGAAGGAAAATCTCGAGTTTTGCAGCACTTCTGATATTCTTTCACACTGCGCCAAAATATCACTTTGGTATTCTTTCACACTGTGACAGAATATCACTTTCATCCAATAAATAAATTACATTGTTATACCTTTTAAAATTGGTTCCTATATAAATCTATGCTAAAACAGTCTAACTTTTCCAGTGTTTTACTGAGCAGTCATAAAAAAATCGATGTTTGACCGTAGAGATAGATATTGGACCTGTTAATGAAATATTGGACCGCTTACGTCACACTGTGGGCGGGATCAGATAAATCTTATTTGCATTCGTTAGTGTTTGACAGTGGCAGTTTTATCGCAGTGCTGGTAAAGGAAATTTACATCATATAAATAAAAAATATAACAAAATATTTATCGACTGTATTCTCGGGCAAAATGCATTTTATCGACCCCTCGAACCAATCTGTTTGCCCTCGGCCTAACGGCCTTAGGCAATCAGTTTGGTTCTTGGGTCCGACAAAACGCATGTTGCCCTCGAACCCAGTCAATAAATATGTAGTATTTCACTGTTGAAAATGTAATAAAAGTTATTAATTACTAATAAACTAATAAGTTAACAAATATTGTATATTGTTTATAGGGTTATTTTCGCCCGTGTAATTTTCGCCCTTTCACACTTTCAAACAATTTTGCCTCATTTTAAATTCGCCCAGTCACAGTTCTGTTTAAGAAATTATACTGTTATTATTTGAATTCGCCCCGTTTTGAAATTCGCCCAACTGAGGTTAGGGCGGAAGGTGCGAAAATAAAACGGAGACAAAAATTTCCCTGTATATGCTTGAAAATATTGTTATGGATTAAAAAACAATAGAAGAGTTAATTTAATATTACCTATAGATGAAAACGCCTATTAATACAGAATACATAACAACAACCACACAAATGATGATAAAATATTTGTAATATTCTTTAATAAAATCGTCTATTTGCTGAATTGGAAACTTTGTAGTAATTGATCCAGGTAAATGACACAGAAAGTTTCTTAATTCACTCCAAGAGCCGTTTGTGCAGGTGGTATTATAATTTTCTCCTTGTGCTTCATATTCAGGACAGCAAGACAAAGTAGCAATAGACCCTTCCACATGTATTGTGTTTGAAGCATTCCAAACACCTCCAATAATGACTGGTAAACTGTCACATGTTCTTACTGAAGGAAAAATCAGAAAATGAAGAAAGCAACAATTGTATATGTATTTCATATATGCACCTTATCTAAAGTACTCACAAAATAGGCACAAAAGTAGTATTAATATGATATTGAGATATACCTCAAGTTAAATATATCCTTAAAATGCAATAATAGGCCAAAAATGTTTTGTTTTCTTCAACAAATTATAAATTATTGATTAGTATCATAATAGTATCATACTAGATTTACGTACTCTCATATGAAGCCTCAATAGAAGAATTAAAAAGGACAGATAACTTCCAAGTTTCAACTGCAAATTCAGCAGATTCTGTCAGGACGTAATCGAACTCACATTCCTCGTCTCCAACACATAGTTCTTCAGCTTCCGCGGAAATATTTGTAGGTAGATCAAATGTCGGACGAAAAGATAATTTTTGATAATCACTGTAGGACTTTCCAGATCCATAAGTGAACAATGATTCATTTTCAGCAATTCTCCCTTCAAAATAAAACATTTATGCATGAAAAGATTACAATAACACTGCTCGTCTTTGTATAAATGTGAATATCTTACATTGATTCCCAAATCTATCGTATATCTTCTCCGATGTTGAGTTTGGATGTAAAATCTCCCCTGTTGGTGATTTTAAGTCATTGCTTGAGTCTTTATCAAAATCCCCAAGAAGGCCTCGTAGGTTTCCTGAAAAAAGAGGAATAACTTACTCCTTATCCACGTCTTTACACCTCTTATACACACACACTCACACAAACTCACCCTTTACACATACACAGTTAACACGATATTCTGTTATAGATACATTTAAATTGATAAATTTTAAACGCTAAATGTCACATTCATTTTAAAAATACAGAGTTTCTATGACCTTGTCAACAGAAACTGACGCCTAAAAGACGGCCATCTTAAAATCATTTTTGAACGATAAACTTATGATAGCGTGTTTTGCAAAATGAAAATAAAAATAATCTACCAGGGTATCAGGCTTGTTTCTATTGTTGCTAGGTCACAACTTGATTGATACCTGGGATACTTTAGGAAATAATGCATACTTTGAGACGGCAATCAGTGGTCATGTTCAACTTCTTGCAGTCGCCCGCGTGGCGCAGTGGTTAGAGCGTTCGCTCTAGAGTCGCGGAGTAAGGAGTTGATCCTTACGTCGCGGGTTCGAATCCCACTGTGGGACGTGGAGACCGGTCCTTCGGATGAGACCGTATAAACCGAGGTCCCGTGTCGCAGTAGGTGCTGGCACGAAAAAGATCCCTCACTGCTCAATGTCCCTGAGTGCCGAGTATAGGTCAAAATTTGTAGCTCTCCACCGGCAAGTGGTGGCGTCTCCATATGAGTGAAAAATTCTCGAGAGGGACGTTAAACAATAAACAAACAAACAAACAAACAACGTCTTACAATTCATGTGGTGGTTTTGAAAAAGGACTGTCATATTGCACGATATAGGAATAACTTAGGAGATTTATTTGATTGATTTTAATAAAAAAATTTTTTTCCATTTGTTGGTATTTTATACATAATCATTTATTGGTATACTTATTTGTTCCAATAAGATGTCACTGATGAATGTAATCCAGAAGATAACATCTGTATATGGAATACTTCTATTTTTGTTGAGGTAATTATTTCATCTTTTTAATATTCGTGTAAGTAATTCACTATGTAAATGATATCATACATTATATACAGTGATAATTAAGTTTTACCGATTTGTTTCTATGCATCACTGCAATAAGAAACATTCAAAAGAATTATGACAAGTGGATTTTTTTCTTATTCCGTGCATGAATAGCTAAGAACCCCTTTACTTGTATAAATAAAGATTAGATAATGTATATGCATGTCTTCAATAAAAATGCAATGCACTTGCGTCTTACTGGAATTGGAGAAAATGACATATAAAAATTTCAAATTGATAGTAAAAATACTTCGGTTAACTATAGTTAACACTTTGACAAACTTTGTAAAATCTTTGATACTGTACTAATCTATAGTTTTGAACAGTAAACAACAGGTAACTATAGTATTTTAATGTTTGAAATGGTTTAATCAACGAACGGGTATTCCTTTTTGATAAATTACTATACCATACCTTGGTTTTATTCCTCTAAGTGCACTTAGTTAAAATGAAACAGAGAATCTGTAGCATCGTTTCATTGAAATTTAAAAGTTACAACAAACCAGTGTATACACAAGTATCAGTTTTGAACTGGGTTTTTTTTTTAAGATTTCAACTGGAACATTTGTCTGCATAATGCCCTGTTTACAATAAAGGGGATGAGAGACACGGCACCACTCAAGATTCATCGAGTTCGTTTATTAAAAGAACAGAATAAAAACGGATGAAATTGTACAAGAACTAATTGTTCGAATCAAGACTTTTAACTTGTAAAAAAAAAAAATTTAAATAAATACGCATAGGAATACTATTTTACAATTCAACAAATTCAATAGCTTTTGATGCCGAGTACTTATATTCAAATTTAAATTATAAGGGTAAGCAACTTGTACTTGATATTAGATGCGTTAACTCTCTTTTTGACCTCAGATGGAAAAGTATTAACCGGTAAATGAATGAAATCTGTGGCAATATATCTTTCTTTACTCCTCACTAAGATATTAACAGTAGTGAAGGAGAAACTTCAAGAGTACTGTGCAACAATATATTTGAGAAGTGGTGTAAATCAGATGTGGATACTTAAAAATTTCAAGGAACTTTTGGAAAATTTGAAATCACAAGATTTTACCAAAATCAACAGCTTAAAAACTTTCGACTTTTCAACTTTATACACATTCATTCCCCACGATAAATTAAAGTCCAGGCTTTTTGATGTCTTGCCCCCTTATTAGCAGACCTTTTTTGTATTCATATGAAGCAGAATTTGTCCAAAATCTTCCACGTGAAAAGAAGAAAATACTTGCTGTGGCCTTCACCTCGACACTTACATATATCGACGACGTATTTGTCAATTAACAATGGTTATTTCCAGTGTTATGTCGATACGATATATCCCGGTGAGCTCGAGATAAAAGATACTACAGAGTCTAACACATCTGTATCATATTTGGATATTTTACTTGAAAAAGAAGTTAATGGTAATCTAACAACCAAACTTTATGATAAACGTGATGACTTCCCTTACTTATGCAGCAATATACCTTCATCACCTGCATACGGGGTTTATATCTCTCAGTTGATTCGATACGCAAGAGCATGCTCTACGTATGTACAATTTCTAAAACGAGGTAAATTATTGACAAACAAGTTGATGAAACAAGAATATCAGCTGTCTCGTTTAAAGTCATCATTTCGTAAGTTCTATGGTCGATACAATGACCTTGTCAGCAAATACAATTTATCATTGAGTCAAATGCTGACTGACATTTTTCATACTAATTGTTAGGCCATTATTTACACACTGAATTGTCGACGGATTTTTCCGTTATTTCCCGGTCATGACAAGGAGCACACGGCGGGTGTGTATAATAGTATATTATAAGTCGTACATACCGAACAGTGAACTATTTCCTATCACTGGAAGAATATTAAGCATACTGGAACTCGCTATGGCTTTAAAAGAAATACCAAATGAGGCAAAAGCTATAATAAATTCCCTGTTGGTTGTGTTAACGCTTGTTGAATTAGTTGTAAACTGTGATACCGTAATTCCTAAAATAAAATGGATAAAAGACATATTACTGGAATTTTTCATTCTATAAAAAAATTCTTCTTTTTCGTCGATATTTCTAGAAAATGCTAAACAATCCTCGTTTTTTTCTTCAAAATGTGGTGTTTGTAGATAAGAAGATAGAAAAGTATTGAAGTTTTATATAAAAAAAATAGTTCAAGTAAATAATTTACCTTCAACATGATGAGGATTGGTCTCATCAAAATCAATCACATTTCCATTAACTAAAACATCTGCAGTTCTGATTGAGTTTAAGAGGACTTCTACAACCACAGAGCTGTTTAAATCTTGTGATGCAAAGGCAGTGCATATACTTGCATCTACCAAATTACCTTCATGAAAAAAAGCAAATTAATTGTAAAAGAAACTCGTGTTCTTATGCTGACGATTATCGCTCAAACACATAGTATAGTTTTTGAAAGTTTTATGATTGTCCGTATGTTATACACATATTAGTATTCTTATCGTGAACATACCATTCTCTTTTCGAAACTGTTCAAACCGTATCTGACTTTGAAAGGATCCGTCTACAGTTTTCATAAGCATAAATTCTCCAACACCATTAAATGTATATTTAAATCCATCAAACGTAGTTATATGGGGGTCTCCCTTAATTTGGGCTACAAAAAATTATTGCATTACTACCGACACAACAAGAACATACTTGCATGAACTGAAAGGTGACTAACAAACAAGATAGAAAAGCTACTTAAATCTACTAAAAATGTTTTAATCATATAACTCCCATTTCTTTTTCTTTTCTTATATCTTAGCGATATGAAGGTTTTTATCGGGAATATAAAAATCGTTTTCACAAAAATTCTTAAGAAATTCTTAAGTGCAAAATCGGTCGTAACTTTACGAGAGCCCAAACCCTCTCTTAAGTATTTTAAAACAGATTCAATTGTAAAAATATAACCACAAAAACCAAAATACACATTAAATTGAACTTTTTTAAGCAACTTCCATTAATATTTTATAATTTTATCACAATCAATGTCGAAAAATTAAATGAAATTCACTACAAAATATTTACGATTGAAGTTTCACTTAAGATTTTCGTATGACCTACTTTTACGTCAGACTTGTGATTGTGACGTCAGATTTTAAACTTCCCTGCTTCACAAACGATTGCATTCGATATTTGTTGTCAGTAATGTGTGTTATGCTGACATATGTTGAAAACTAAGTTTTATTTTTATTTTCACCCATTGATTTAAGGATAATAAAGCATATTGAAGTCGTTGCTAGGGATGAAGTCTGTCGTAAGTAAAATCTTAAGTTCAATCTGCTAAGAATGCGTTCGTGAAACGCACTTAAGATTTGTTGTAAGAAATTCTTAAGTTAAAATCCTATGCTAAAACTTAAGATTTTTTGTGAAAAGGGCTACTGACTTTTCCATGTCAAATGACGATTGTTGTCTTCCTAGACAAATTTACTTTAGCATTGACATAAAAAAAAATCTGGTTGAATTAAAAAATCATATTGTGTTATTTTACTTCTCATTAATTTTGATACTTAATATATTCATCTTACTACTAAAGAGAACAGATAAATATCCACAGTGTCATTCTGCTGAAGTTCTGTTACATCCGGGTCCCAAGATATTGACTGTTGTCCCGTGAACCATTCAGAATTGTTTTGTCTGAAGACTCTATGCTCGCTGTCCGCAGGGTTAACTTAATTAAGAATACTCAAAAAATTAAAGAAAAACAAAATATTTTCAGTTTTTAAAATCGTCAATCTGTATAAAAGATCGGAGACTTCGAGATACTTTCATTTCTCTGACGTTAAAGAAAAATTCTTTTTAAAAATGTCAACTCATTACTCTATGAGGGAATTCCTTTATCCAACACATAAATTTAAGTGTCTGTAACTTAGACCTCTGAACAATAGGCATGAAGCTGTTACTTTTACTTAATTGAAATTTATTTTCATATATCCATGTTCATATGTTCGTACATAGAACTGATCATACATATATATATGATATATAAGAATTTATGACAGGCAGGTATTTACTTGATGCTTATTAGTTACCACCAATTCAGTCTTTAATTAAAGCTAGCGACGGTTACATAATTTTGAGAATGCAAACAACATATAAGATTGCAGAAGAGATCCAAGAGCAGTCAAAAAGGTGTTATTTAATTATTTGTTATCCTCTTGTAGTGTTACTTTTCAACTCTTTTTCAATAGTTTCACCTTTAAAGTTCTGTTGTAATATAAATCTTTGCGGGAGCTGAAGTTTAGTAATTACATTTTTTTTGTTAAATAGTTATCTGTTGTGACAAAATCTGATGTAATATATACTCTATGTGATCCTTTTACAGAAATAGAATATTTCGTTTTAAATAACATTATTCACAAATCTTGACAACGTATACCTACCGACTGTGTAGAGACCTCGAAATAAATTTTTCACACCTTGGTCCTCAATTTCTATCCTTATGATAACATCGCCTGTGTAATTGAATATAGGAGTAATGCAAACCATGCTGAATTTTGATTGTCTTTCACAACTGTATTTTCTGGATCCCTGGAAAGTAGCCGTTATGTTTCCAGTGTCTTCAATACACGGACCACTGAGGACTAAATACTGACCCCCTAAAAGTGGACCATATCGAGGAGTAATCGTCAGATCTCCTGAAAGGACAATAGAATAAAACATATATTTCCATACGGTCATCTGAGTATCAAGAGTGGTTCTTAAAAAGGTTTATACAAGAAAATATTTTATTGTCTATTAAGATTTTTAATCCCCCAAATATGATACTTTCTAAGTGCAAAAAAGGTCACACAATAATTTCTGCGCATTAATTAGCATGATTTGTTCAATGATAAATATTATTCAAACTATTTTACGTAATATCAGATTATATTTATTGCCATGTTTATATCTGATAAAATATGATAAAGATTAAAGTGACTAACCTAAGAGTTACAATTTAAGTGCAAAAAGGTCAAGTTAATTGTACCGTTGCTCAGTAAGATGTACACTGACCCCCCAATTTTCTTTGTGAAATTGAGTCATGCTATATGACTACTTGTCTAAAATATACTTCTCAAAAAATCCTTCATGTAACTAATTTCACGAGTGACATACCTTTATACCAAATAACAGTGATGTAAATGTAAATTATATGTGAATATACAAGTAATAGTTCCATGTAGTATGAATTGGAGAACATAAAATATAACAATCCCAAATCAATAGTAAAAATACTTAGATATACTATAGTAAAAACTTTGATATACTACAGTGAAAACTTTGATACTATAATTAACTATAGTAAACTATAGTATTTTTGTAAGGGTATGGTGGATTGATAATTGCATAAAAAATACGAATTCTAGAAGTCGGTTCCTAAATTTTTGCTAAAGTTATGGTGATTTTTGAAATTGTTGGAATTAAAAATTAAAAAAGGAATTTCATCAATTAAAATGCGGTTTGATGACCTAGGCATATTATACGTTTAAAATCTTTGCTTGCTGAGAAGTTCGTGCAATGCATGCATCTTGAAATATGAAATTTGTGATAATTTTTTGAGAATGTACATTTTAACGAACTTAAAATTTTACTTACATTTTATTGCTTAGAATGGGCAAAATAACAAACCATATAAGTTTAACGCAATTGACATAATAAATAACTGTATATATACATTTAGCTCTCTGCTTCTGCAACAATTTATAGTAGATGTTTTGACCTACAGAATGGAAACACATTACTCTGTGAATCTCAAGATGCGAGAAAACGAAAACTTTATTTTCACTTTACTAAATGGTTATGGGAGACACAATGTTTTCAAGAATGTTGATTATTTTCAAACTATCTCATTTCATCTTAATTCCTATGTTTAGAATCAACTAGGCATATTTCTGTTACTACTTGTCAGATGTTTATGTCAACTTCTGATGTTTATGTCATTTAATCTTATGATTATGTCGACATGTGGGTCGGCATAAACATCTGACAAGTGGTGGCAGACATATGACACAATAGAACTCTCAATCATAGTCATTAATTTCAGGCTTAAAACAATTGAACCTTCCCCTTAACTTTTCATATATTTCAAATACTAGATCCTCTTATTTTTTCGTATATATTTCATATGCACATTTTTTCAATGGAGTTCTTATATGGAACTATTGAATAGCTTCTATTATACACTTATCCACTGGTAGTGAGTGAGATAGCTCTTTTATCAAACCCCGAGGGCTTGCCCGAGGGGAATAGTTCCTGTCAAGGGTTTGATGAAAGAGCTATCCCACTCACCACCAGTGGATAAGCGTTTTTTATACTGATGTATTTCATAATTTCTGAGGGTTGAATTACCTGATAAGTACTACAGTTTCATAGGCAAAACACGAAAACTTCAAAAGACTTTGTAAAAGAATGAGCTGAAATTCTGATGACATCACAATGCTACTGAAGTCATGATGACTTCATCAGTCTAAGGATTGATTAAATGAAATCAAAATTGGCGGCAAAAATTGCATGAACATTTACCGAGGAGTGGGTAGCACAAACTATACCCCGGGGTATAGCTTTGCTATACGTGCAAATTTTCAGACTATAAAAGATAGTTATTTAACTTCTTAACTTTATATAGGAAACATTTTAACAGAAGTATAATAATAGCTATTATTATACCCCGGGGTATAGTTTGTGCTACCTACTCCTCGGAAAATTTTCATGCAAATATTGCCGCAATTTTTAGTTTCCTATAATCAATCTATAGACTGATGATGTCATCCTGACTTCAGTAGCATTGTGACGTCATGAAGATTTCAGCTCGATCTACATGTAGCAGTATTATCTTTTTCCTAATATACTTAATTTAAAACTTTTAAAATTATTCTTTTCATGTTCTGACTATGAAACTGTAGTATCAGGTAACACGAACCCTCAGAAATTATGATATACATCAGTATAATAAAACGCTTATCCACTGTCTGTGAGTAGGATAGCTCTCTTTCATCAAAACCTTGACAGGAACTATTCTCCTCGGGCAAACCCTCGGGGAATAGTTCCTGTTGCGGGTTTGATAAAAGAACTATCCCCTCACAACCAGTGCATAAGTGTATACTATCAGACTTTAATATAAATGAAAAGTTATTTATTATGAATTGATACATATAATTGTAACAAAACATGTATTTATAGTATATATTACTGAACAAATTATCATTGAGTCAGGTGCTAAATCAGTTATTTGTACAGATATTCACTAGAGTATATAATCGAACAATAAGAAAAATATAACTAGAAACTCATTGCGAGCAATGAGAGGTCTTCCGTCCGATTCTGAAAACAAAACGAAAATTCAAGCTGAAAAAGTGATAAAAGAAATTCAGACACTCTGGAGATTTAACCCTGGTCGTCAACGTGAAAATCAAACGTGCTAATCATTAACAATTCACTTTTTTGCATCACTTCCTGTTACGACCGGAAGTAACGGCGATACAAGATTTTCTCACGATTCAAATAAAGTGATGACCTTTTATCAGTCCTGAAAGTTTTAGATTTCAGTCGTTTACTGTTGCCGAGCCGTATCTTGAGAACAGATTCTAATTTTGAGGACAGGTAGACAAGGACCGGAAGTGAATTTTAGAAAAATCTCCGACTTTTCTCTAGACATTTGCAGTATCTACACATACATATAACTATTTCAAGTACTTTATCGATAAGCAATATTTATGAGAAAGTTAAATATAAGAATAACGTAGTTTATCTCCTAAAACCGGAAGTTGACATTTTTGATTTCGGTGGAATCTAACATATTTCAAAACAGTGAAAGAGATGCAATAAAGTGATGCAAGTTTTAATATAAAAAAGAAAAATTAAAATTTTGATTTCTTTGATCACTTCCTGTGACGACCGGAAGTGACGGCTGACGCTCTGAACCCAAATGGTTTTGCCTACATCTTAAGGTCTGTTGCTCATAAAAGTTTGGTGTCTTAATCACAGGGCTCGACATTAACTTTTTTCCCTACTTGTCCATTCGGACAAGTGACCAGGACATTTACTTGTCCGAACTTCAACTTCACTTGTCCGAACATTGTTCAATAAAGATAAAATACTGTCAACTTGAAAACTAAAATAAAGTCCATTACATGTGATTGATTAGTGATGTTATCTATAAATACAAAAAACATAAAAACAAAATTTTATCTAGACTTTCTATCCTGACAACAACATAAATGTTCACAAATGAAACTGTCAACATCATACAGAATCTAAACTTCGTAACTCGGCGTAACTTCCATGCCTTTGCAGTAGTATGCAATTAGTGAACTTCGATCCCGATCGAGTGTGAACTCAATTACATAGCAATTCATATCGGGATCAAAGTTCGTTTTTTATGTACTGCTTCCGTCTTTACCGATGAACTTTCAACAGTCGTTCTTTTTATTATTTGAAGACTTCTTTACATTAAAATGCACTTGTCCAATCGGACAAGTGCCAAGCAATATTCACTTGTCCGTATTTTTTTTTTCACTGATACCGGACAAGCGGACAAGCGTTAATGTAAATCTCTTACCGTTTCCGAGATCTTGCTCAGACAACTTCTCATTTTGAGGACAGAAAAACACGCGACCGGAAGTGAATTTTACAAATCTTAAGATACTTGACGTTACTCTAGACATTTGCAGTCTAAATAGCACATTTAAAATTCATTTCAAATGCTACAAAAGACATTAATTACTACAAAAGATATTAATGGGAAAGAAAAATACTCAAATTATGTAGTTTTTCTCTTGTTACCGGAAGTTGACGTTTTTGTTTCCGGTGGGACCAACATATTTCGAAACTACAAAAGAGATGCAATAACGTGATGTAAGTATTAATTTAAAAAAGAAAAGTTGAAATTTTACGATTTCTTTGATCACTTCCGTAAGCGACCGGAAGTGTCGACGACGAACAAAAAGTAGCGACCCGGCTAGTATCTATCACGAGCTATAATCCCTGAAAGTTTGACATTGATATCTCTTGTCGTTCTTGAGATTATCCGCGGACAAAATGTCATTTTGAAATCAGAAAATGGTCTGTAACTTGGCACCGGAAGTAAATTTCCAAATTTTCTCTCAGATAGATCAAGTTCATTTTACAACACACTATTCCTGAAAAGTTCATGTAAATCCATTCAATGGTCTTTGAGAAATCGCGTGCACAAAATTAGAAAGTGACTTAAAACGAAAAAAGCGAATTCCTAGAGTATGTTTGAATCAACATTAAAACAAATTATATATTTAGTAATCCGATAAGACGCTTTCTTATCCCTACTAATATCGCAGAAAAATATTTAAAAACAAAAAAATTGAAAAAATCGATTTTTGAAAGCCACTTCCTGTAGCGACAGGAAGTGCCGACGGCGTACAAAAATAAGCTTCCCGGCAAGTCTTTATCACGATCTATTATTCCTGAAAGTTTTACATTGATATCTTTAGCCGTTCTTGAGATTATCCCTGGACAAAATTTCATTTTAAAATCAGGAAATGGTCCATAACTTGGCACCGGATGTGATTTTTGGAATTTGCTCCCGGATAAAATAACTTCAGCCTACGACACGTTTTCCCTGCAAATTTCATCCCAATCCACTCAATAGTCTCTGAGAAATCGCGTGCACAAAATTAGAAAGTCAAAAAAATAATAATAAGAATAATAATAATAAGAAGAAGAAGAAACAGTAGAATCACTATAAGGTCTTCCGTGAAGACGGAAGACCTTAATGACAGAATACAAAGGACAATAAGATTGAGGGTAGAACATACCAATATATCGGATTGATTTTTGTTGTTTTACGTCGAGTCGGCAATATTTCAGCGGATGAACGAATTATAAAACATACAACTAAATACATGTATGTTTTAGGTCTGATGACATGTTCCTCGAATATCTGTTTTTATATGTCTTAATAATATACCAATAATATATATACTTATTATCGTCTTGTAAATTCTGAACTGCTTTCAAAATGCTTAAAAATATTAGACCAAAAATTGAGATATCAGCATTTTAAGTGATTTTCAATAGGATTAAGTATGAAACAACATTATCTGGTATCTTGCACAAATGCTTGGTAATGTATCTCAATTTTTTGTGAGGAAATTTTTTAAAGTAGCAATACTTCACAATTTCTTCAGAAAAATTATGTATTATTGAGGAACGTGTCGTCTGACCTTAAGAAGAATATCAAAGAATAGCCATACCTTTAACATTTAATACATTTAAATACGAAATTCACAGCTTCTGAACTACCTTCAGTGGTGCATCCTCCTTTAGTGATAACGGAAGCGTCTACTCTGAACACAAATTTCCCTGGTAATCCAACGTTTGACATTTCGTCCACATTCACAACGTCATCAGTTCGTGACGCATTTAACATGTAAAAGACTATGCCATCTCCAGCGTTAAATCCAATCTAAAGAATGTGGAGGGAAAATTTAAAAACTCATACATATACACATGTATACTTAAATGAATATCATAATTTCGAAAATTTGACATTATATAATAATATATTAGGTATGGCAAATTGTAACCGGTTAACCGTGATCGGTTCGTGAATCTGTAATCGGTTACTCGGAAAAATTAAATTTTATTTAAATTTGAACGAAATTTCCTTAAAATGTTAATTTTTAAGACCTCTAAACAATGATAAGCTCATATATTTCATTAGTTCTGTCTGGATTGAGATAGTGGGGTTAATTGGTCAGTTTGTGAGGTGTTAATTACTCACTGTTAAAACTCCATGTCATTAGAAAGCCAATCCTATATTTCTTTAATGATACATGTATTAATTAAATCATCGTTGAGAACTGCTAACTGATTATAATTGTGTTTCTAACCCCGTCTGTCCTCCCTAGTAATTTATCAAATAATATAATTTAACAAACTATAAAGAGCAAGAGCCACTTAGGGCCTTTTTTGGCCCTGAGAATTTCTGAAAAATCGAAACTGCTCAGTTTTGGTTGAAAATGCAGTATTTATAACTTAGACCCTTGGTGGCCGTGTATCTATTGAACATGACGTAATTTTCTCTCTAGTCAATGCATTATGACGTCATAAAATACGTCATTTTCCCCATATCCTGTAAATTCTCTTAAAAATGGCCAAAAGTTGAGGTATTTTTTCAATATTTCACATACAGCACAACCTCTGATCCAAAATATGCAATTACATAATTAAAGATCTGTTTCTTAAGATCACAAAACATGTTTTAATTTTTGGATCGTGGGCTGTGCTCATATTTTAATTCTTTGTTGAAGGTAGTCAAATACGCATGTTTTCTGCAAAATCCAAGAACATTGCATTTTCTTAAAGCCTGTTTTCCAATACCCGGATTCTCAAAAAGAAATTTTGTTATAGGAAATGAAAGCACCAAGTCTCTACTTTATTTTGATATATGAAATGGGACAGAGGGTGATAGTCAATTAATTGATATAAGGACAGGGCCATTTTATGCATAAAGTGAACCTAGCTCTTAAGTGATAGTCTGATTATGGTGACAATTAATGCGGCAAAAATGTTTTATGTTTCTGTTACCTTAGGCATATTCATGATTTTCTTACATTTTCTTTGCATATTGAAATTGAGAAAAAGTATCTATTTTATAAAATGTATTGTTTAGTTTTCTAGTGTACATGAATAGAGGTTACCTAAAAAAAAAATGCAGAAATTATTGTGTATTTTGATAGGAGCAACCGATTAATCGGTCGGAACGTCTTGCGATTTATTCAAAGCACTTAAAGTGACAAACGACAGGAACAATTAGAAATTGTCAAAACTTCGGGACGCCCTGTCCCTTCCTCAAGACAAAGAAGATTTTAAAATTTTAACAAGTCAAAAGTTAAAAAGACTTTTTGAAATCTTCTATTTTTCTATGTCCTGAGGAAGGGACGGGGCGCCCCAAAAATTTGACAATTCTTGATTGTTTGTGTCATTGGTCATTTTTCGCGACACCCTGTTCCTTGGGACAAACAAAAACAATAAGCACTACAACTGAACTATTTAGCCCTATCTTTTTATAACTCTATATATTTGAACGTTAAAAACTAATTGATATGAAATAATTCTGGACCTTTTTTAAAGACGTCCGATCTGTCTGATGTACTCACTACAGGTATATTTTATGTAAAATTATTCTTTTATGGATTTTACATGTATGACATAAGAATCGGAAACGCAAAATTGTGTCACATAAAACGGGGGGTGGGGTGGGGGGTTTATCCCTGTTCCCAATCACTATAAAAGGATCAGCTTCAGAGAGATAGTTGTCATTGATATTGAAAAAAAATTATTGCCAGCATTGCTACGTATATATTTTTTAACACACATTTTGCATATCATGCCAGGTTTCAGATCTCACGTTATCTCTTTGTTTTATATGGAAAGCCACAGCGGCCCCCAATTCATGTTCTAAATATTTTATCGTAATTCAATCTTGGCCATGTCAGAATTTCAATCCTAGCCTGCTCATGATTTTCAATACAGGACATTCCTGACAGGATTGTAATTATGAACGGCCAGGATTGAAATACAATATAACCTGGGGTCCCCTGTGGCTTTCCATAGTGTTCACTATTATTAACCTGTGCTGGAGTTCCTCCCAATCCAGTCATAGCGTTACCATCAGCTGTTGTACCCGTCGTCCATTGAATTTGTTCGTAATTATAAATAGTGAATGAATTTTGTCCATTGGATATCAGAATTGTTTGAAAAGTGTTTGTCTGAAATACCAGTAATACATACATGTTGTTAATTCATCGCAACAATTATTTTATTGTACAGTTGTATTGAAATTTGAAAGAAAATTTATTTTCTAAAATTAGCAGTTTGTTTTCGACTTCTTGTAATAACTAAAGTCTTGTATGGTATTTTGACAAAGACGGTGTAATGATTGATTAATTGATTGATTGATTGTAAGTTTTACGTCCAGTTTGAGAATTTCTTACTCATATAGAGACGTCACCATATGCCGGTGAAGGGCTTCGAATTTAGACCTTTACTCGCCACTCAGGGCCTCGGTTTTTACATGTAAGGTCTCCTCCGAAAGACCCGCAACTTTCACTTCAAAGTGCCGTTGTAAGGTTGAATTTTGACCCCCGTGCGCTTGGCGAAGGAACAGTTGCTACTTTTTTTTTTATCGATTTAGGTTAGTCGCTGCAGGGGTTTGAACCCACCATCACCATCTTCCAATTACGGAGCGGACAGTATAACGAAGGCTGAATTATACAATTAGGGAGTACCGTTAGTGGGCGTGATAAAACAGCGCAATTTCATTCAGCCTAAAATACTCCGTCGATTTCAGTCTCAAAAAAAAAAAAAAAAAAAAAAAAAGTTGGAGCAAAGAGGCTATCTATGGAAGCCCAATAGTACAAAACAATTTTTTGGAAAAAAGCGAAAGCCTAAACTGATAAAATATCAAATGATTTAAAAATAAAACATGTACAAGAAATCTAAAGAAAAATCCGCCTAAAATCATCTAAATAAATATCTTATTTCTCCGAACATAACAGTATTTCGTCAAATCTTGTAATTAAATTTGGCTGAACAAATAACTTAATTTGTCCTTACAAATGTCTTATTCAACAGAACAAAAAAAAAAAAAAAAACAAAAAAAAAAAAACAAAAAAAAAAAAAAAACAAAAAAAAACAAAAAAAAAAAAAAACCAACAACAACAACAAACAAACAAACTTAGTATATAAGTACATGTATGTTATTTTTAATTCTACCGATGTAATGACCACTCAAAATATCACATTATTACACATGTGTGCTTTCTTTTTCAGTTCTGCTTCTCCACCTGTTTTATCGTTATTAAAAAAATATATACAAATGTAGATTAAACCAAGAGATACATATATCCTCGTTTCACTCACAGAAATTTCTGTTTTCATTATCATGGCAACACCAGCAAAATCAGAATTCAATAAATAAAATTATATATCTTAGTTTGGTTTACTTGTGTAAAAAGCTTTAATAAAATTTTATTTAAATTGCAGAGGGAGTAGCGTTTTAAAAGAAGTGCAAAGTAATGTCAATTTCTAGTAAATTTGGTAACAGCATTCGTTATCAGGCTCTGATGCACAATAGAATTTTTAATAAATTTCACTGAAATTTCTAAATAAGTGATGTGACAACAACGTTCGTCAAAATCAAAATCCGATACACAGAGTTATCAGAGTTTAATGTACGTGTGTTCCACGTGTGTTCCAAGTTTAGCTGAAATCGAAAAACTGTTTTTAAACTGAAAGTCCATGCAGTAAGATTCATTTTCTCATATTACCTCCTAAATGCAAATTGTGACGTCATGAACTTGTGTATTTTCCAATATTTTTTTAAAAAGTTGCAGAAGACATCAATTTTCTGTGGAATTTTCTTCCCGATGTTATTAAATGATAAGGAATTTTTATGCTCTCTGATTGGTCCACACTCTCATAGTGGGTTCACCTCAAGATGACGTTCTTGGAGGTTTATTCTGGTTTTCTATCTTGATCAACCATAGATTTGCTTACAATTTTATCAACCAATCAAAGAACTGCGAACGATAGCATTGTTCTCCCGCATACCTCCAAGTCGATTTTCAAAAGTTAACATAGTTTGATGATTTTTCATATTTATATAAATATTTATATGAATTTTCATAAAACATTACTTCTTTGAGAAAACAAAGAGAGGTAACTCTATAATTTGGGTAAAACTTGTGCTTTTCACAGTAGAAATCAACGGAAAACGGAAAATATTTTTAAACCCCCCCCCCCCCCCCCGTGAAACAAAAATTTCTTTTTACACGTACTATGGACTGTCATTTTACAAATTCATACTAAAGCTTTTGTGCTTCACGGGGTGGGGGTGGGGAACGTATGTTTACAGACAAAAAACTACAAAAATGCTTATTTTTTCACCAATTTCAAAGGGTTTAACAATTGAAATATTGTATTTTTTAAATAATATATGTTTAATTTTGTATGCGTAAAACATAAGAAAAGATTTTAGGAACATTTATTCATATCCAAGAATATTTTAAAATGTGTTGATGTTTTAAAGCCCGATTTCAATGGAAAATATCGTATACCCCCTTATTTTAAGAGCTGGAATTAGGAATAATTAACTATTTAACACTGGCATTAAAATTATCAGTCAATTACCATTGAACTGTTCTTTTCATTCAACAAAGATTTTACGGTCAAATTGTTATAAGTATTGAATTAAATGGGTGTAAAATGTAGGCGGGAATCGAAAGTTAGCGTGCGTAGTTCTTGCGCATTTTAAAGCATGCGTCGTAAAATAAACAATACAGACGCCAGTATAGAAGAGTCTAAGTTCTTTCACTAGTATTCATTGTTTCATAATATTATTCTATTATGGACTCTTTTGGTGGTGAATATGGTTTGTTATTTACCAGAAAAATATCAATTATTATATTGACCAAGGCGAACATTGAAGGTTGCATGACGACATCATTTACATTACCGAACTTCTTTCGTAGAAAAATGTCAAGATTACAAGTTAGAGATTCTGTGTTCTCCTTTCGCTGTGTGTAAGACATCAAAATGTTCTGAAAATAATCCCGCGATTGGCTTGCCTAACATATTTTTCCTGGCCAGATAAACACAGCTGGCTCAAACCGTTGGAACCATCGTTTATAATGTTGCTTGAGGTGTTGATTGTGACGTCACAATTTTGCCTGGTCACTAAAACAGAAAAATCTCCGTGAAATTTCATTCAGAGTTCTACTCCTTCCACATCTTTAGTCCATGTTTATAAACATTTAGTACAAAAGTAGACTACCTAAAGATTCATAATTCTGTATATCAGATGTTGATTTCAACGGCCAGTGTTGGCTGGATACTTTTATAGAAATAAATATGTACAGTTTTTGTCTTTATTGTGCCCTAAAAATTTGAGGTTTTCAAAAAGTTTTAAATTGTGAAAATGAAGGAATCCCGAGGTAGTGCATATTCAAACTTAATCAAATCATGACCCAGGGGGTAGGGTGGGGCCATTACAGGGAATTATGTTTTATATGAGAAGGAAACATCTTTTAAAATATTCTTCTCAAGAACAACAGGTCCAGTCATATTAGGTATTCACTTAGGTAGTGCATATTCAGATTTGTTCAATTCATGGTCTAATAGGGGTAGGATAGGATCCAAGTTTTTTATGGGAATGTAAATGGGCAATACTTTCATTCTTTTCCTCAAGAAGAGCTTGGTCATGATAAGTCGTACTGAGGTGCCAATATCATCAGGTAATGGAGATTCGAAATTGTGAAAATCGGCAAAAAAATTTCAATTTTTTCTCTCAAGAATTACCAGGACATGACTATTCATATTTAAATGCAAGCATTTTCAAGTAGTACTGATTCATGTTTGTTCAAATCATTGCGCCAGGGGTAGGTTGGTACCACAATATATTGGATCAATATATTTGTAGGAATATGGAGAATTTTTAAAAAAAATCCACAGGGCTCTCTAAGCCTATAACAAATAACCTTAAGTTGTGATTGATTGATTGATTGTTCCCGTTTGAGAATTTTTCATTCATATAGAGACGTCACCATATAACGGTGAAGGGCTTCAAACTTAGACCTTTACTCGGCACTCAGGGCCATTGATCTGTGACGGATCTTTATCGTGCCAACGCCTACCGTGACACGGGGCCTCGGTTTTTAAGGTCTCATCCGAAGGATTTAGGTCAGTCGCTGCCGAAATAGCAAAGTTTATTATTTCAGAAAACGTTCACAAAATGCTAAAGAAAATTATAAAAACAAAGAAAAGGCTTATAAAAAGGTGTTACAAAGAGAAATAAGTAAATATACAGAAGAGATGAGCAAAAAGTTACAAAACATGAGACTCAAAACCCCGAGAGAATATTGGAAAATATTGAATAAAAATAATAAACAAAACAATGCAGGTCAAATTTATATCGAAGAATTATTCAACTATTTCAAAGAATTAAATAAGGAACCTGAAATACCAGAGAATATAGAAAAAATACTAGATAACGAAATAAATACATTAGAAATAGAAGAATCAAATCATAATCTAAATAAATACATTTCACAAGACGAAATACTCAAGGCTGTAAAAAGATTAAAAAACAACAAGGCATCCGGTGAGGACAATATAAGAAATGAATATATAAAATTATCAATACAGGTTATGCTCCCACTTTACGAAAAATTATTTAATATTGTCTTTTCAACAGGTAAATTACCTGAATGTTGGCTTGAAGGAAATATCCTTCCTATATATAAAAACAAGGGAGAGAAAAATAATCCACGGAATTATAAACCTATAACAATTTTAAGCTGTATTGGAAAACTTTTTACATCCATATTAAATGACAGATTAAATGATTTTTCAGATGAATACGAAATACTGCACGAAAATCAAACAGGTTTCCGAAAACAATACTCAACTACCGATCATTTATTTTCAATACATATTTTATCAGAGTTATTGAAATTAAAAAAGAAAAAGCTTTTTTGTGCTTTTATAGACTTTGAAAAAGCATTTGATAACGTATGGCGAAAAGCTCTATGGTATAAGCTATGTGCAAACAACATTAATGGAAATATGTACAATGTTATTACGAATATGTATAATCAAATCAAGTCGAGAATAGTCTATGATAACAAGGTTACTGATTTTTTTCACTGTGAAAATGGTGTCAGGCAAGGAGAAAATTTGTCATCTTTTTTATTTTCAATTTATATAAATGACTTACAGAATTTTTTCCAGCAAAATATGACAATTGGTTTACCTTCAATATCTGTTATGTTTGAACAACGTTTGAATGTATATTTGAAATTGTTTGCACTATTATATGCCGATGACACTGTATTGATAGCTGAATCTGCTGAACACTTACAAGCAAAAATTAATTGTTTTGAAAAATATTGCAGAAAATGGAATTTGAAGATAAACATTAACAAAACAAAAGTAAAGGGAAAAAAAGAAGAAAAACCTGAATTTAAATACGGCGAACAGCTTATTGAAGTTGTAAATGAAATTAATTATTTGGGTATTTTATTTTGCGCATCGGGTTCATTCAAAGAAGCAAAACAGAAACAGGTTGATAAAGCAAATAAAGCAATATTTGAAATTCTTAAGAAAGGTCGCTTACATAATCTATCAATACGTTGTCAGTTAGATCTGTTTGATAAAATTGTTCAGCCTATATTGCTGTACGGATGTGAAGTGTGGGGATTTTCGAACAATGCAATTGTAGACAGAGTACATCTAAAATTTTGTAAACTACTTCTTAACCTTAAACAAACTACTCCGGACTGTATGGTGTATGGTGAACTCGGTCGACATCCAATGTCCATTGAAATACAGACGCGTATTATTTCATATTGGTGCAAACTTAAACTTGGAAAGGAAACAAAAATATCAAGCCTACTGTTCAAATTAAGTGATATCGTAAATCAAAAGACGAAGATTGCTTGGCTAAATAATGTCTTGAATATTTTAAACAACTGTGGACTTTCAAATATTTGGCAAAGTCAGACCTTTAATCCAAATTGGTTGAGATCAAAAGTAAAACTTACTTTACTTGATCAATTTAAACAAAAATGGAATTCGGATGTTCAAAACTTTTCAGACTCTAAATTACAGAATATACAAAGACAAACTAAAATTTGAAAAATACTTGGATATTCTATCTCGAAAAGATGCCATTAATTTCTGCAAATTCCGTACTTGCAATCATTATTTACCGATTGAAAGTGGACGCTGGCTAAATGAACCAAGAGAAACGAGACTATGTCAAAAATGTAATTTAAATGAAATAGGCGATGAATTCCATTACATATTAAACTGTACGTCAGTGATACACGAAAGAAATAAATGCTTATCGCAAAAACAATTACGGTTTAAAAATACAATTACATTCAGAGAAATAGTGAATTCAGAAAAACAATCCTTTTTAAGAAAACTGTGTACATTTATTAGAAAAATTACTAAAACGTGCTCCCCGAATTAGTAAAGATCTATAATTGTACTATTTGTCTATCCTCATACTCACGCATGCTAAAATTTGTTTTTATTTGTCATCATTGTTTACATTTATACCTCTGTATACAATTGTAAAATTGTGAAGAGATTAATAAATTCAGTTCAGTTTAGCCGTGATTCGAACACAAGACCTTCCGATCACCGAGCAAGCGCTCTGCCGACTGAGCTACCGTGACGGTCTCTTAAGCTATGTGCAGTTATATTTTCTTTTACAATCCTGGTTTTAATATTATAAAAAAATTATTGAAAACTTTTTGTTTCGAAAATGTTTTACCTTCGAACAAGGTGAAGAGTTGCAACCATAAAATGCGACACGTTCCCAAGTCACAATGAATATCCACGAAGCTTTGAATCTGTAGAACTGAGGGAAATAAGCTCGAACTTCTTCGCTCACCCTGTCTAGTAAAGTAGAGTTTACAGACTCCCTGTACCAAATTGTCCCTCCATTGTTCGTGTTAATATCTGTCCAGAACGGAGCTATCATTCCTACATCATTAGCAATGGGAAAGGGTGATGCAGAATATGAACTTACAGCTTTTTGAAATGAAATAACTCCATTTGTGTTTACCTAGACAAGCAAAAACAATACACTTTTGTTAAAAGATATGCTTACACTTTACAACTTACTTTTAACATACTAAAAATAAACGTATGTTTGCTGTATCTTCGATATTTGTTTATCAAATACAGGTAAAGATGGGTAAACTCTGCCTGTAACAACAACAGAGCAACCCAACCCCCCAACCCCCTCTTAGCGGGCCTTTTAATCATTCTTTATGATCACTTGTTGTTATTAGCGAGTAGCCATTCGAGGAGCACATCCAATAAAGTACGAAATTTGTACAATGGAATATACAGGAATTTTCTGAGATCAGCAATTCCATGTTTAGTGATATTAATATGCAAGCATCCTCATTAATTGCAGATTCAAGTTCTTATATATATATATATATATATATATATATATATATATATATATATATATATATATATATATATATATATATATATATATATATATATATTAGGTATGGCAAGTTCCGACCGATTAACCGGTTCATCGTATCAAAGTACAAATTTTCTTGACATTTTTTCTTCCTGTTCAATTTATTTATTCTCACATTTTGTAAAACAACATAAAGAAAATACAACAACGATATCAAACAAAATACATGATGCATGAATGTACAGTTTACATTAACATGGAATGGTAACTTTCTTATTAACTATATTGATGAATTTACTAAGGTTATTGATATCTTTTTTACATGAAAGTAAATTTGAAAACTAAAAAGCACTTGGTTGTCTTACATATGTTGATGGTAGCTACAGTTTTCTACAATCATTTACAGCTGGACATGACATAATATAATGGTATTCGTCTCCAGTATCATTTTCACATAAAGTACAGAGTCTTTAATTCGTAGGTATATTGCTCCATCGGCCTGTCTTGATTGGTAATTTATGATTACTAGTTCTAAATCTTACTAATGTAATTGTAGTATTCATTGACACATTGGCATTGAAATAGTTTCCAGATGTAAAAATACTATTAGTAAACAAATTATAAATGTTACCTTTACCAGATGTAGCGTAATCTAAATTCTATTTTCACAAATTAGTTGAAATTGATCAATCAGTGTTTGTTTGATAACATTCAACAACCATTTTTCATTTTCAACATTTTGCATCATCCAGACAGAATTTAAACCACATTCTTGTAAAATACTCCGTATACATTCAATCCATTTAAAACTACAATTAATATTGTCGTACATTGGTGAGCTATATAAAACATTTAATGAAATATGACACAATTTTGTCTCTTTACATTTCAGCAGTTTTACCCAGAATTTTATCATTCTCATTTTAATAGTTACACTAAATATCTATCTACCAAGCTCACTACAAACAATATATTTCGGTGTAGATGTCATAAGATGAAGTATAAGTTTACAAAATTTGAGTTGAAATTTCTCAATAATGTTCACATTTTCAAATCCCTATATCTCGCAACCATAAAGATTGATAGGGATAACCATTTTAACAAACATATCAATTTCACAATCGAGAGACAAATTCAATTCTCTAGATATTTTTTTAATTATGGTGTACACAACTCTTGTTGCTCTTTGAATAGTATATTTTCTCGTACTATAAAAGGATCCAGTTCTCGAGAAAAACACTCCTAGATATTTGAATTCTTTTATAATTTCAATTACATTATTATTATACGTTAATGCTACGTTAGGAGATAGTCTGCCCTACCCCAAATTATAATATTTGTTTTATCAACAATAACATTTTTTTCCCCAATTTTCACAATATTTTTGAAAACAATTAAGTTGATATTGAAGACCATCCTTAGTTTCAGACATCAAAACAGTATCACTTGCATACAGTGTTATCATAATTCTTAAATATACACCTAGCTTTTGTTCAATTTCTTTAGACAGGTTGTTCAGTCCCATAACATTTTCTTGTATTGAAAAATCTTCTAAGTCATTATTATAAAATATTTTAGAACTACAATCATTGTACATGTTAACAATAACTTTAAGGCATTTCTCTATAAGTTGATATTTAACAAGTTTTTTCCACAACCCTATTCGCCATTCTTTACTTCCAAGTATAGCTCTATTCATATAAACAAGAAGACTAAAAAGACGTAAGAAGTTAAAAACATTCAGTTTTTCTTGAAAGCTCTATGATTAACGTGATGACTTCAACTTTTCAATCGTCAACTTCCCTTACTTATGTGGCAATACTCGTATACCCTTATCACCTGCATATGGGGTTTATGTCTCTCATTTGATTCGATATGCAAGAGCATGCTCTTCGTATGAACAATTTCTAAAACGAGGCAAGCTATTGACAAACTAGTTGATGAAACAAGGATATCAACAGTTTCGTTTGAAGTAATCATTTCGCAAGTTACAGTCGATAAAATGACCTTGTCAGCATATACAACCTATCACTGAGTAAAATGCTAACTGACGTTTTTCATACTAATTGTTAGGCCATTATTTATGCACTGAACTGTCTACGGATTTTTCCGGGGTTTTTTTCCGATCATGACAAGGAGCACACGGCGGATGTGACCGGTCGGCAGGGGATGCTCACGCCTCCATGGCTCCTGATCCCACCTCTAAATTTTGAGGTTCGTGTTTGCTCTGCTCCAAATTTGTATCGTTTCATTGGACTTTCGAGATTGAATACTGTTCGTTATCTTTATATTTCATTGATCAGGAACATGTACATACATGTATATCTTATTTCAGTTTCAACACACACACACACACACACACACACACACACACACACACACACAATTAAAAAACATGAAACATGCCTGAAAATCAGACATTGATAATTTTCAAGAGCAGATTTCACACAAGTTCATTCTGCATTGTCACCATAAACAAAACTATATGTCTGAACTTTCACTTAATTTACAATGTTTGTCTGATTATATAATTTATAATATAACGGCAAAAGATAGACATGCCAATTAACAGTGCTCAACTGTGATTTAATATCATTAAAGAAATAGTTATAATTGAAACGGAGACCGTTACAAATGTTCCCAAAACGCTTCCCCTACTCCCTCTAGGGCCCGATTCCCTATATGCTTCAACAAATAAAACAAAACCTTTGTATTATAGACTTTAACTACTTATTTTCAAAAGTATTTTGAAGAAATAACGATGCAAATATAGCACAGTGAGCATAAGCGAATCAGATTTAAGTACACGTGCAAGCACATGATTTCGAAAATTACCATATACATGTACAAAATCTGATAGAATGCCATAATAAAAGTTCCATTTTAAATTTCAAAGACTTTCACTGGAAACAGAAAGTTTCAACAACATTAATATTCAGCAATTAATCAGAAATCAGCACGCGTGTATGCATGTCCTCATGTTCATTTCTGATTATTGAATAATGTAGAAGGGCAGACCACCAAAAATACTTTTACATTCTATGGTAACATGTTGGAGAATGTCAAAAAATTTAATTATTTGAGGATTGTATTTTCACGTTCAGGTTCATTATGTAAAGCTAAAAAACCATTTGTTTCAAGAAGCACAAAAGGCAATGTATGGTGTGATACGTAAGATTAGATAATTTAACTTACCCTTTGAATGTCAACTGGATTTGTTTGATAAAATAGTGTTAACCGTTATATTATACGGTTTTGAAATATGGGGCTCCGAAAATCTTGATATTATTGAACGAGTACAATTCATGCGCGGATCTAGAGGGGGGGGGGTGGAGGGGTCCTGACCCCCACCCCCACCCCCTGGAATTTGCCTAGTTATAAAAAGTATATACTGAAGCAAAGAAAAAATGACTTTGGACCCCCCTAGAAAACGTGGACCCCACCATCACTACCACGAAATAGGCGTTTTTCACGTTTGGGAAATAGATTTTGCGTTTTTCTTTTTTTGCTTGTCAAGAGCCTGGGATGGACCCCCCCGCCCTGGAAAAAAAATCATGGATCCGCGCCTGCAATTAAATTTCTTTAACATATCTTGAATTTGAAAAGTAGCACCCCAAGTTATATGATTTATGGTGAAACCGGGCGGTTTCCTTTATATATTTAGATTTATACTTTAGAGTTATAACATACTGGGCAAAACCTGTGTATGGAAAAGAAAAAAAGTTGTGTAGAATTGTTTATTTGTTTCTGATCAAATTTGATAAAGGTGAAGTAGTAAACCCCTGGATTTTATTTGTTCAAAGTATTTTTGACAACTATATGGTATGAGCAAGCTTTTCATAATGTAAAAAGGGATAACTGCAACCATCAAACAAAGGTTAAAAGATCAATATATTCAAAAGTGGAATAGTGAAGTTGGGAATCTTCAAAAACTGTAAATTACAGAATTTATAAAACCAATATTGAGTGTGAAAAATATTTATCTCTGTTATCAGGTAAATTTAGGAAAACTCTTGTTAAATTTAGAACAACAAATCGCCATCTCTGAATAGAAAAAGGCAGATGGAACTGTACACAAAGAAAAGAACGACTTTGTAAATTTGTGCGATAAAAAAGATAGGAGATGAAAATCACTATATTTCAGAATGTTTTTGTTTGTTTGTTTGTTTTACCTCCCTTTCGAGAATTTTCACTCATATTGAGACGCCACCACTTGTCGGTGGAGGGCTGCAAATTTTAGACCTATACTCGGCACTCAGGCCATTGAGCAGTGAGGGATCTTTTTCGTGTCAGCACCTACTGTGACACGAGACCTCGGTTCGTACGGTCTAGTCCGAAGGACCGGTCTCCACGTCCCGCAGTGGGATTCGAACCCGCCACATAAGGATCAACTCCCTACTCCGAGGTTATAGCGCAAACTCTCTAACCACTGCCCCACACGGGCACCTAATTTAGAAGGTAATGCAATAAGAAAAAATATTGAGTCAGAAAAATTTTTTGTAAACCAAACATGAAATTTTGTGATATGTGCTCAAAGTATGTTGAAATCTTTAAAAAGTGTGTACATTTATTACTGAAATTAATTGTTTGGTCTCTTCTCCCTCTAGCTAGACTTGACTCACACTTCTTGCTTAATCCATTGTATTATATGTATATATGTTTGTTTGTTTTTTTTTTTGTTTTTTTTTTTTTGTTTTTTGTACTTCGTGTACCATTTACATGATCTTGAGAGAATAAACTAAACTAAGCTAAGATTAAATGGAACTCATGTTACTTCTAAAATTAACATTTTATTTTCTACCACGGAGCATACTTTTCAAATTAACAGCATTGTAACGTCAAAAACATAACGTAACGAGTTTCCCCAAAATACTCTCCCTATACATTTCACAAACAGTCTGACGCCATAACCCCCCCCCCCCCAAAAAAAAAAAAAACTATACCACTTGACATTTAGTTTGCTAAAAATTGTTTCAGTAGAATGTTTTTGTCAGTATTTTCAATTTTTTTAATCGCGTAACTCTGTTTTCACAAGATCTGCAACAGTAAAGCGCCCATCTCTCCTCCCATGATGTTATTAATAAAAGTTTAATCCGAATTTCCCTCATAAATCGTTTATCGTCTGATACAGATTCTTTAATACCCAAAACCACCTTGAATAGTTACACACAATATGCTTACTTTTGACATATTTTCTGATTCCTCCAACACTTCTCAATTTATTCTGGAGTTTTCCAGAGTGCAACACAAAATTGTATCGTTAGTCGCTGCAAAATATTAGGTCACAATAAGAAATAATATAGGAACTCTCACTATGAAAGTCTAGATTTGTTTTTCGTTTTTGTGCCATTTTACAGAGAAATATGGAGATAACGAACAGAGATATGATTATCAAGAGCATTTTGTGTACATGTAAATTACAACCGGGTATGCTCTGTGATCCCATTTTCGCAGTAGTAGCTTTATATTTTTAATACGATGGAAATATACCAGAATATATTTGAAGCTTTAAATTCAAACTATTCGAATTTATTGAATTTATTGTTAAAACAGATCTAACAAATTGAATATAATATGACGTTAAGAAAAAAAAAAGATTTGACATAAGTCCGCTCACTTTCCGAACAGTCATCGTACATGTATCTGTGCACTTAATATTTAAAATTTATAAAACGGTAAACATTACCATGAATACAGACGAAATAATTTTTTTTTTCAAAGATATCTTTTTCATTTACTGTCCAGCCAGTCTTTTTGAAACTTAAAGGCTTATTCTTTTCATCAAGTTAAACCGGTTTCTGGAAAGAAAATTGTATCGCTTTGAAAAACGTTTTTACTGTTCGATGGAAAAAAAAATGAGTTTTTCATTTTTAATTTGATATTTTTATTTCAAACCGCATAATATTGTTGTGAATGTGTCTCCCTAAGTTTATAAGATGCTGTTGCCATGGACACAAAAATGGTGAATTTTCTGAAATTAATTTTTTTAAAAGTAGTACATGTAGTTGCTTTCTCTGCTTTTCAACTTCAATATTGTCTTCACCTCGGGGTGGCATACATGATATTTTTTGCAATAGAAAATGTTTTAGTTTCCATTTTCTTATTTTGTTTTAAATAAACAATACATCGAATTAAAATGCCAAATTTTACCGATTGTCAGGTGCTTTGCACGTCAATTCTAATCTTAGTCAAAAATCATAAAATATAACACAATTAAAGTCTAACCAAAAATGATGCTTAATATCAAACGCCGCATAAGGTGAGTATTAAACATGCAATGATTTAAGAATGCAGGTTCCAACTGGGAATAATATAGTAAGGGACAAATACAATGTCTTTGGCCTGAGTTCATGGGACCACGGTTAAATATACAGAATATTTTGTTGTTAAACAGATTATCGACTTAATCATTGTGAGACAAAGTGAAAAAAAAATGATCCAAGAGTTTTTTTACTTACAAACAATTTTGGATTTTGTTGATTGAAAAATGGGAAAGGAGTTGATAAAATAATTCCCGGACTACTTCCATCATCATTGCGTTCCATTTCTGTGTCTCCTGTGTCATTTCCAAAGGGGAAAAGTTCATTTAAAGTCAAACTTAGGGTAGCTGGAACGAAGATACAAAGGTGAACAATGATCCAAATGATCTGCATATTTTTTGACATGATTTAATCTTTGCTCCCTTTAACTACTGTATTTACATGGTATAACAAGCAATGTACATATATATTTATACCTGTGTATATGTGCAAATTTGATAACATTTATCCGGTACGAAATACGCATGCGTCAGTTTCTTTCGAAAGCTCTTGTCTCAGTCGATATAGGATTGCGTATTAAAAACCTTTAATTTTGTTTTATGCATTCTGTTCGAAAACTTATTCAGAAGTCAGAAATACAATTCCAACACCTTTATAATAACGCAGTATCTAAACTTTGAACATTCTGAATCTGATACCCGACAATCACAGTGACATTATTTGTCATTGTTATTTAATTCCTCCAGAATCCATTAAAAATTACATCATTTTACTTTTGCCATTTTAATTGCATTTCATGTTTAATTATTTCCATACAAGGTGTTTATTTCCCAAATTATCTGAAACCCTTGTCAATGTTCTGTATAACGTGTCTGAAGATTTATTCTTTGTACAAATAGTAAATCATACTATATGTATTGATAAAATTATACTTCAAGTAATATCAAAAGGCCTATGGACCACAACGTTATTTCTTCCTTTCAAAGAAATAACGTAAGACTTAAAGTCTTTCCTTTGGCTTTAAAGTCCATAGTTTTTAAACAATTTAAGTTATGTTACTCGTCAGATTTTGTAAAAAGTTTTGTCAGAACCTCTAACTTCATAATTATTTATTACATTACAATTTTTATAACATATTTGAATTAAATAATTTAAATTATACAATATTCAATTTAAATCTTCTCACAAAAATCGTACAGAAACAAGGTTTATGGTGGACTATTTCTTCTGGTGGAAAATTCTTCAAATCTACACATTTTTAAAATTAATCTAATATCTTGGAACTTGAGCCATACATATTTTTACTCAGAGAATGTTTTTCTTTATTATATGCTAGGAATATTAAATATAGCTTTCAATGATTATTTTTAGAATGAATTTTACACATTTACTCAGCAGATCCCCCCCCCCCCCAAAAAAAAAAGGAAAATAAGAAGAAAAAAAATTATGTAATGAAGAAGTCAAGATAAAATTTTCATTGTTTTTTTTGCCTGAAAATCGCATATTTTGACCAATATCTCAAAATAATCAACATCTGTTTTAAAACATTTGCAAAATTGATAAAGAGTATGGAGTGCGTTTGAGTAAAGTATTAAAAAGCTTATTAGAGAATTCATGTATTTTCACTATAATCATATACAGCCTCGCCTTAATATTAGAAAATTTCATCCTGGGACATTGAATTTCACAAATTCTGGAAGAGGCACACGCAGTTCGTCTGCTAAATACCCAGAAGCAGAAAAGATTTTCAAAGGATTAATGCATTTTCAATATGTCATAATAGAGCCCCACCCTAACACCAGAAGGCCTTGAATTTCTTAATTTTGGTACAGTGCTCAAAGTGGACGACGGCCGAAAACAGATATCAAAAGCTAGGTCACCTGAGTGATTCAGGTAACTTAAAATGATAGATAGAACTATGAACAATGAATCCTGGGGAATAATATCATGTTTCAATGTCCCAATGTAAAACTATTTTTAAAAATGCTAGCATATTTTGCTGAAAAAGAATTACTATTTATAACACTCACTTGGATTAAATGTCACATATGACGAGGAACACATCTATTGAAATTGTTACAGGGCTCTGATCATTTAAGAATTTCTGTTTTAAAACACAATCCTTTACTGGATCAAGCAATGCAATATGGAAAGCAAACCCCAAACTACAGTCTTCCACGGGTTTACAATTACACTTGTCAGTTTTTGAATAAAGGAAATTAATGTCATTTACATAGGAGGGTGAAAATAGTAATTTATTGCAAAATTTAGACGATTTACCTGATATTTTCGAACTGATGCTAGCTGTAAAAGATATAAATTATCAAGATGCTGTTTGTTCTTTGATGCATGTAATAGTAATACTTTGATAAATCAAGTAAAACAATACCGAATATATTAGTTCTACCCATCAAAGAAGCAAATGTAAGCTGACATTAAAAAAACAATTTTTAATCATATTGTCTTCTCTGAGAGATTTTAACTTTAGTAAATAAACTCTATAAACTTAAAAGTAGTCACATTGCAGAGTTTATTTAAAAAGTTAAATCTGTCGGAAAGGACAATATGTTAGTGATGTGTTTCAGAAGAGGGTAATAAGAATACAAAACATTTTCAATTTTTGGTCATGCACTACATGTAGTTCTGCAAAACTATGTACAGACTAACTGAGTTATACACTTTAACGATAAAAGTTGAACTGATTTAAGGGTTTGGTTTTGTGTTCATCCAAGTGAAACTCGTATGAAATAAAAATCTCAATATCTTAATAAATACTTCTTGCTTACTTTTGAAAACTGACCTATGACACCTTCCATGGGAAAGCTATCTTCACATGTATGCAGTTTGGTTGTCACTTGCAGTGCCATGCAGCAATAATGTGCATATTACACTTGCAGGACTGCACAGCTACAGGTCTAACAAAACAATAACATGACATTTGTTGTATATGTGCAGATAGTTGAACGTCATGGGTACAACTATTTGTTTCGTTCCTAGCAATTCTGTGCGTACTTTTTCCATAACTGTCTGTTTTTCATCAACTAGGCATGTCCGCCATGCGAAATCTGTGGGCTGCCATTCCGGTATTGAAACCAACTGACTATTTCTGTAATCTGATGTCTCTAGTACCCCAATTACACAAAGCAATTAGAGAGATATCTCGTAAAACATCTCCAGCTATTAGAATGTTTCAATCTAAATGATTAATATTGTTTATTATAAAAGTAACATCGATGTTTACATCATATCAGGGAATGCTCCGTCTTTGATTTTACAATGGACGAGATAAATTAATACGCGCCCAGTTTTAGCAGTTCCGACTGAAGTTAACGTCTGTTATTTCTTTTGCAGGTAAGGTTATTAATTACCTTTGATCAAATAAGCATATTGATCCTACAAATGTAGGACAGTGTCATATAATATTGAAAAATATTGCACGAAAATTAAGAACTATATTCACTCAGCGTAGTTTATTTCTGAGGTCTGTCATGCGATATTCGGCTAAAGTGAAAGTAGCAGCTGGTAAGTCGATTTTTTGTGTTTATTGTGAATTTTGAGTCTTATCTCAGATATACGATATAACTCCTAGTATCAGTAATACATTTTGAGTACGACAACGCCTGCGATCTGATGCACATCAATTTTAAAAAGGTTGAACGTTATACAAAGGATCTGAGAATTTCCACGTGTTTCTTGCAGACCACAATTTGGTAGCGGGCAATATTTAAGGTTCCTCTAATAAATGTTACTATGTTTCAAAATACTAAAAGTATTCGTCATTGTATCAAAATATAGTTCAGTCAAAAACAGGGTTTAAAATACTATGAGTAGAGTAAATAACTAAATTTTGTTTTCATTAATGAGCGATTTTTGTGTAAGATCCTTCATTGAGCCTCAGACACACCAAGTTAAATGTCCAATGACGGCTAAGTGAAGTGGCTCTACGTAGTGCACATATATGGTAAATCAGTTGTGTTATTTGTAAATCAAAATTTTGATACTCAAATTTTATTGCTTTTTTGTTTTACTTTTTGTAAAAGACATGCAAGTATTAATTATTAATTATTTATATAAATAATATTCACATAAGTTTGTACTTTGTATACAAACCATCATTTTGGTCTTGGTCCTTCTAATTTGCAGATTAGTGCAGTATGTAGTTCTCATGGGGAAAAGTAAATTAAACGATAAAAATTTTTAGGATGTCAACTTAATTTGCTTATTGCTCGATATGTAAATTGTTCATCAAATGAAGAGTGCAGCGAAATTGAAAAATAGCTTTTTTTTTAAAGATGAAAATTGCATAAAGTATTAATAATAAATATTTATTCTCTAGTTGAAATGGTTAAGGTTGAAAACTTGAATTTCTGCAACTCCATTGGTTTCATTAAAAAGGGAGTATAATAAGGGGGGTCTTACCTGATCTTAAGTTACCATTGAGCATGCTGAATCAAATGCTACCAAGCATGTTTATTTTTAATTGAATGTTCATTTTATGAAAGTCTTTCGTATGCTCAATCAGACTTAGGTTGTTGGTTGCACTTGCAAGGAAGAGAGAAGGGGGGTGGGGGGTTAAATCTTGGTATTGATCCATAAATACCATAATATTCTTGTAGAAACCTCTAAGATTTTTCTATAAAATTAAAAAAAAAAAATGAATGTACATGTAGCCACCACTTTATATCTAAGGTTATTATTATTTTCTTTTGAGGACCTGTATTTTAATGGTACAGGCAAACCTTGTTATTTCTATCCTGAAGGGACCTGAATAAAAAAAATCGAGAAATTTGGTATAGTTTGACACATTGAGGTTAAAATGCTTTAAAAAAATGGAAGAGACTTTCAATGAAATATGAAGACAACAAACAATAATAAAAATCAAATTGAAATTCACATTTATTGATGTTGGAGAGATTGAAGCAAAACTCTATTGTTATAATGTCTCAGAGAAAAAAAGTTTTATCGGAAACAGTTTCAGGAAATAAATACCATCCAGTAAAAAAAATGACACCCTTCAACATTTTCAACAAAGATTAATATTAATATCTAGATTTAAAAGAATTGTTTTTGAACTTTTTTCCTAAAATTTATTATAACTATGTTTACCATGTTTACAGAATGCCTTAATTAACTAATGTTTCACAAAAAAGAACACTGCTCAGATATTTTCTCTGAACTGCCAATTTCTGCATTTCATGTGATACCTGTGTTGGAGCCCTCCCAAAAACCTCCCCTGTAAAGTAAGTTTTTTATCATAATGAAATGATTCTGTAAATTTAATAGACATGTGTATAAGGGTATAAGGTAGGTGTTATAATCACAGTGAGCTGACTAGTCATTTTCATTTTGTATGATTGGATTCAGATGCTATTCTATGTGTGCAGAATGAAAGAATGTACAATTTTTATGATGAGAAATATATATGCTGTTGGATGAAAAGAAAGATCCTTTTTAAGTGAATGTTGTGTATGTGTCCATCACATTGTCTCAAGCCATGGTTGGAGTCCACCTACAACTCTCTCCTACCTGAGGCTGCTTGAGCGAATAAAGTATCGTTATCATGAATAATCAAACCTTATGTGTGATGTCACGTTATAAACCAATAAAAGTAATTGTTTATATTGCAGTTGACTTTAACGATAAAAAAAAATGTTAGGTAAACACTGAAAAAAGAAAAGCACATCAGAGGTTATTTTTAAATAATTAAAAACTTCAATCTCTTTTGGAAGGAACTGTTTCTGATCATCTTCTTGTAGCTTACTAAAACACATATGTCATCATATCAGGTTTTTAAAATTCTGCCATCAAATCCTTACCTTGTCATTTAACCTTCAGATTTTGCACCGATACTTGTCATCTACTTCCCAAGACAGGATGACATGACCATCACTTGGGTTTACCTTGATCTTATTTATGGTTGACCTCTTTGTATACAGATTAGACTCATTTATCTCTGTATGGATTAAACTACTCTGATCTACACTAATTGTAAATTAAAATAAGATATATTCAATGCAACAATCAGTGCTAACCAACATTTACAATGTGACCATCATTGCTGAGGGATGTGTAGCCTTTGACCCTGAAATTTACATGTCTATCTTTGCATGCTTTTTACTTAGTCATGATGTAAAGATTTGACTTTCAATTCAAGTTCCTTCTTTGAGAGTGATCAACAGTATTGTTTTTTTAGTGGTATCATGGTATGTTATACCGGTAAATTATTTATATTTAATATTTTACAGATTTCAAAGTTAAGGAGATCATTCAAATGACAGAGGTTTTGGTCCATGTTGGTTTGTCTCAACAGTTAATCTTTTGGAAAGCAGTGTTGGAGAAAATATCAGCACAAGTGAAGACTGTGATTTAGTTTCATATGATATGACTTCAGAAAGTTAATATTTTTGATTTCATGGTTGTATGAACAAATGCATTGACCTTTCCAAATATAATTGAAAAAGAACATATGATTACCAAACAAAAATACATATTTGAACTTTCCATGAGTTTACAGTGAAGAAACATTTTGGGATCTCGATACAGGATATTATAATAAAGTTTTATCTAATTTATTGTTTAGTGCATTAAATGCAAAAAATGTTTTAAAGTCACTCTTGTGAAACCCATGCTAAGAACACAGATCTCAAATATCTTAGAGAATCTTTAAAGAAACTTTCACAAAAATTAGTCAAACTTGCATATACTGGTTAACATGTTAAAAGAAATATAATATCCTGGAAGTGATTAAGAATAAAAAAAGTTCATCCTTTTCTTTTGTTCTTCTTGGTGACTTTTTTTACAATAATAAGACATTTTACATTTTAGCTCATCTGAGCAGAGGCTGTATTGAACTTTTCTGATCAAAGAGTCTCTGGTGTTTGTCCATCTGTCATCCATAAAAATTAAACCATAAAATAGGGTATCAAAGTTTGATATGGGAATCGATAGGAAAAAATCACCCTTTAATGAACAACAAGGTAATGATTTACTCATAATGTATGCAAGCATCCTCAAGTAGTGAAAATTCAAGTTGGTCTAAATCATGGACCAGACTTAATGTTATAATAATATTAAGATATTCCCTATTTGTATTTTTTTTCTTTTTTTTTTCTTCTTCAAATAAATCTGAGATCAGATTTTATATATAAATTGGTAATAGCATGTGTGCATGTGGAGAGAAAAAAAAACAACTTTAGAAAACATATAAGCCATGTTAGCCATATTGATAATTAAATATCCTCATGTTGTGGAATCAGTTTTGGATTAGAAGTGGCCTTATGACCCTAGGCTGGCCATGGGGCCACAATATTAGCTCAAATTTGTTTTTATGAGAATTAAGGGGGATAAGAATGTCTTAGAAATCTGAAGAACACCAAGGTGACTCAAGTGAACGTTGTGGGCCAGGCCTCTTATTTAAATTGCACACTTTCATTCCCCCTGCAGATTTTTAATTTCTTATTTGTCATATTTTTTAAGGAAAAAATTATTTTTCTAACATTAATTTCCCTGTGTTTTGTACACACCATAGATTAATACTTTAGATACATCTGGGCTTTCATATAAAGTGCTATTTTTAGATCAACAGTGAGTCTCTTTAATTCTATTTTTAACACATTACCATGTGGTTGGGACTACTTTCATGGCTAACATTTTCTTGTTTGACTAACAAGTATGCATTTAAAGAATTGTACCTATTGTAGTGAGTTTACATTTAAAACAAAGGTTCTTCACAAATAGTTGTAGCCACTTAATTGGTTTAACTATTTCATATTTTTTGGGATTTTTTGGTGCACTACTAAAACCTGTGGCTGCGCAGTCCTGCAGGTGTATTGTGCACTTGATAGCTGCAAACTGCTGCAAGTGTCAATTAAGCTGCATATACCCGGAGATTGTTTTCATTATGAAGATGACACGGACCAGTTTTCAAGTGTTAGCAAGGCTTAATTTTTGAGATATTAAGGTTTTTATATTTAGTGAGTCTCATTTGGCTGCACACAAAACCAAACCCTTAATTTGACTCGCACATTTTGACCAGAAAAGTACGGAAGCGTATTAGTGCCACATTGTAATTTTTATGTTGCCTTTTCCAACTTTAATCCAACTACTGTATACAGGGTTATTTTCGACCAGTGTTATTTTCGCCATTTCAAACTTGCAAACAATTTTGCCCCTTTTAAAATTCGCCCTGTCGCAATTCTGTTTTAGAAATTATACTATGTTCTTTGAATTTGTCCCGTTTCAAATTCGCCCACCTGTGAATAGGACAAAAGGTGCGAAAATAAAAACATTTCCTTGCATACAGTATAAAGTTGGTAAATCCAATTTTAAAGTTGGAGATTGAGTACTGCTATATGTATAGATAGTGTCTCATGTATTGCTTTGCACAGACATTTGTACATATACAATACCAGAGTTACTAAAATAGAGACCTTGATACATGTATTGATCTTTAACCTCCTTTTCAAAAGTGTTCATAATGCCAAAACACATCATATTTTTTCTAATCATGAGAGATATAGCATACATGTACATACTATTTTTCGTAATACTCTCTGAAAATCATCAGAGCTGCAGTTCATTCGACTTAGCCTAATTTCAAGAATCTTCCGAGCCATTAATTTAATAGACGTGTATCTTTTGAAGTCTGAGAAAAAGGTTTTGATAATTAGCGTATGAATTGTGTGCGTATGATCTCAAAATAATGCACTTTCAAACAATATCATATACATAGATTTTTTAGTCCAACACGTGATTTATAATAAATAGTAAAAAAATTCACCATACTTAATTACTATATATACTTTCTCTGCCTTCTTACATAGTAAAATTTGATGGTTTTTAACTACATGTAAAATGAAATTGTATTAATAATTGATTTCAGTGAAAGTGATTTTTTTTCTTATTGAAATGTCGAGCGTGAAAAATTAAGTTAAAAAAAGTAAGTTTTAAGATGATGGCATTTATCAATTGTTTACTACACATGCACGTAGTATCTTCTCTTTTTTTTTTTTGAAAAAAAAGGGGGGGGGGCAGCCAGAAAAAAAATTGACAACTTATCTGAAAAAAATGTTTGCCAAGAAAAAAAAAGAGAAAAAAAAGTAATTGCCCAAAGTCTACAAATCTTTTTACGGGGAGGGGGATGGGGTGAATTTTTTTTTTTTTAATTTGAAAAAATTACATCCATATCGTGTATATTTGGCAAGTTTATTAAGCAGCCAAACAGCATTTAAGTGATTTCTCGAAAAATAACAAAGTAGTTCCTAGTGTGCAATGTTTACTTTAAATGTTATACTTTAATACGAGGGGTGATCAAAAAGTTCTATCTCTATATTTACAAAACCACAATTCAGATCAGAATGAAATTTGGCACACATATAGTCATACAAATGTTCTATAAATAACAAATGTTAAATAATTTTTTGCTCCGTGTTTGTGACGTCACAA